ATCAAAAAAATATTTTTCAATTACACTCAGAAATAGTTTTTAGAAACCTCTTTCGAACAAACATTGCTCAGCTTCATTTCCTTCGTCTAAATTTATAAGCTATTTTCCATGCAAATTGCCAACCGTTACGACGACGCGGAGTTATAACTCACACTTCAAAAGAACTGAAGCATTGCAATTAGGCTTTATTGTGCCAAGATTGAGAGTGTTTACGACGCCGTAACTTGAAACGTTTCCTTTATAATGGCCCCTGCATGCCTAAAAGAGATTTTATGCTTTGCAAACGTTTCTTTAAAGAGAATTAGAGGTTCTTAACCTTGCTCAAAAACAAACGCTTTTATAAAATAAACAGAATGTTTAGTGTTTATTAAACTAATACAAGAAACGAGAAAAATATGTTTTATTCAAAAGTAAATACACTTTTTTACATGGTTTTTTATTTTAATACAGAAAATTCAATTTGGACAGATTTTTTTGCACGGATATATTTTTTACGATTCTTTGCACATATGTATTTTTAAGGATCGGGATAGATTCGTTGGTAGGCCATCGGGTTCATGTCAGAGAGATCGCGAGTTCGATTCCTTCTGGCCGAAGACTAAAAAACAAAATGTGTACAAAATGGTGACTGGTGCATGCTAAATATGTAGGGGTCAGAAAGTCCTCCTAGTTCCCATAACAAATCAATACTTCTGGGTGTACTGAAAAGGAGATTAACCATGCTCTGGTTAGGGTCAAAATTACGATTTGCAGATGAATGAAAGGTGTATGAATGAATCCGCCCTGTGAAACGGTTTGTGACGTATATGTGAGTGGCAAAATCATATTTTAGGCCATAGATGGCGCCATTGAAAAACAAAAAGATTACCTGCCTAAAAATTCACTTGATTTCAAGCAGACTTGCTGATATTGGCAAGTGGCATGTATAACAACATATTTTTATAAGTTTATAAACCTATGTTATTCGGGAACAAGTGCACATCATTCAACAGCACAGATCGTGTATCTTTTCTTCTTACTCCCCCCCCCCTTCCCTATGGTATTGAATCAGCAATACAAAACCTAGTAAAAATCAGATGGTTATACTTATGCTTGAACAGGTTTTTCGCTTTAGAAGCGTGTGACTATAAATTATGCTAACCATTACTAAGAATGACTCTTGGTACAATAATTGAAAAATGGCGAGAAAAGAATGGCGAATGAAATTAAACGAATTAGTTACTGAAAAAATAGACAAATTAGTGAAAATTGGTATATTAGTGAATAGAACAGCCAAAATAATCACTAGACTACTAAATAGTTTTTTTTAAAAATTCATGGAACTACATGGCAGTAGATCCATGTAAAGACAGTGACGTGAAAGTCGACGAATATAATTTTCTTTTCCTTCCCTAAACTTTTTTAATCTAGAAAAATGGACACAAATTTTTAAGAGTTATATTCCATTTATTAGGTTAACTAGCCAAGGGTTCTCCGAGATAGCCTGGTTGGTAGGGCACTGGCCTCATATTCGTGAGAACGGGAGTTCAAATCACGCCGGCGAAGACTCTCCGCGTAGTAAACGGTGACTGGTGCACAATTAAATGTGTCTGGTCACTAAGTCCTCTATGTTCCCATAACAAATTATACCTTCAGGGGTACTGAATTGGAGATTGATCGTTGCACATTTGACAATTGCACTCCTAATGCCTCAATGGCCTACGATAATTTACTACGGGTACAGCCTACAGGTTTATTTGGGTAATACAAACCTTATATAGAAATAAAACAATATTTTGAGCATCGCAAAGGAATTTTTCACGAAATATGAAAATAAATGAAACGGACATTTTGACCAGCTTATACCAAAGGTTCAATCTTATATAAATTGCAGTCATTTAGTTAAAAATAGAGTTCTGTGTCACTCAATTTCAAATACTTTGAGACAAAACAAATTGCCTATTAAACTTTTTTTAAATAAATCTAATAAAATGAGTCCATTCTAACATACTATGATCAAAATAATTTGTTATAGGTTAATTTTTCATTAAAAGAACTGGAGTAAAAAGATATTAATTTATAAGAATATTTTTAAAATGTGCAATATTACATTTAAAAAAAATAATAAAACCATGTACTTATTACTATCAAAATAAAATACTATTTTCATTTATACCCAGATTTTCTAGCAGAGGGTCTCATTTCTTATTACTTCATATTTAAAACTATGTCATGGAAATTGAAACAAATTATCTCTTATATTAATTTTTTTTCTTCCCTTAACTCAAGAAAATTATATGAAATAGGTTTAGAACATTCGAAGCTAATATACTATATCTCTGAGTTTGTTTACATAAAATCTGTTTCTCAATTATGTAAGTGGGTAATTTCAACAATAAGCTTTTATTTCAAGATTTTTTTGCTTAAAAAAAATTCATAATTTCCATTAGAAGTTAAACCAGGAAACCATTAATAACAAATTATCATATGTGCTTTAAATCTATGAAAAATTAACCCTTTAAGCCTTTTCGTTTAAAATTTAGTAACTAAATGCTGTCAAAATGTAAAACAGGTCATAAAACAAAACTCACCTATAAATCTAGAGCAAAAAGTATACTTTTTGTGAAAATTACAATTTTATTCATGAAGATTTTATTTATATAAAAGAAATTTAAATGGAGAAAACCTATTTCTTCCTAAAAAATCTATCAATAATAATCTTCTCTGCCATCCTTTTTAAATACATATTTGCAAATACAGGTAACTTAATACCAAAAGAATATAAATCTGTTCGCACAACAAGCACTTTATATCACCTAACTTATAAAAGAAAAAACACTCTGTTTACTCAGATTTCAGAATGCTGCATCTATCGATGCTCAAGAATTAAGGAAAAATTAACACATTTAAAATTCAGAGGAGAGATATACAAGTACAATTTTACAGACAGAATTGTTAGAGAGTTTTCATTTTTGGCAGTTTTTTTCCCCTTAACTATACAGGGTGTTTATAAAGCACTGGACCCATTTTGATGTTTAATAACTCATAAAATAATAAAGATAGATTAAAATGAATAACATAAATGGTTAAATAGACTCAAAAAGTTTCCCGGCCCTTGCCAATGAACGTGTGCCCCCTTCGTCGCATGGAGAATATCAAGTCGATAGTCAATTTCACGCCAGGTAGTGGCAAACATGTCAGCATCCACAGAGGCTATTGCGGTTGTAATTCTGGCTTTTAGATCATCAATGTTCGACACGATCCTCCTGTAAACATTGTCCCCACCAAAGAAAAAAGTCCAGCGGCGTTATATCAGGTGATCTGGGTGGCCAAGGAATTGGACCTCCTCGCCCAATCCATCTTCCTGGGAAATGGTCCTTCAAAGAACTACGAATAATGATACCACAATGAGGTGGTGCACCATCTTGTTGCAAAAAGACATGTGGCTGAAGCTCCTATAGTTGTGAAAATGAGAAGTTTTCCAACATGTCTAAGTATAAGACTGATGAGACCGCCTTTTCTGTAAAAAAGAAAGGCGGAATGACCCGGTCGTGCATTAGTCCACACCACACATTAACCTTCCGGGAATCCCTTTGTGTCTCACGGTATTAATGGGCGTTTTCAGATCCCATATGCGCACATTATGGCGATTAACAATGCCAGAAACATGAAAGGATGCTTCGTCAGAGAACATTATGCACTTCACAAAATCGGCATCATCTTCTATCCTTCCTACCATATCTGTTGCAAACGCCATCCTCCCAGGCCTATCGCCCGGTTCCAAACCTTGAACAATTTGAACTATGTACGCATGCAGTCTTAATTGTTTCTTAATAACCTTGTACAACGTCAAAATTGGCATATCCAATTATTTTGCCGCTGATCTCACAGATCTTCTAGGATGTCGAAAAATGTCTGCCTGACACGCTCAACGTCAAATCACTTGAGCAGGGACGTCCGGAATGTTTCTTATCTGCGATTCTTCCAGTTTCTAGAAAATTCTTTTTCCACCGCAAGAAGCTGCTTTTGGATGGAGGATCTTTTTGGTAAATTCTTCTGCAATTTCTCTGTGCTTGCACTATCGATTTCGTTTCTATGAACCACCATAAAATCTGTGCTTTCTCTTGTGGTGTATGCATTCTCCTTAATATCCGCTCGAANAGGAGAAAGATAGATAAATACAATTTTACAGACAGAACAGTTAGAGAGTTTTAATTTTTGGCAGTTTTTTTTTCCTCCGCTATATTAATGCTTTTATGAATTTAAACAAAGAGTATACTGGAAAAGAAACAACCATAATAATTTTGTGCCACAAAAAATATTCGGAAGTTGATAACAGTTAAAATACATAATTATATCTTTTAATACCTACATTTTATCCATCCCTAGCTATAAGCTATTAATGAATCATAAACAACAAATTTTGGGATCTCCTTGGCCAGCAGTCTCGTTGCAACCCTGAATGTATTGTTGTGCCTTCTTTTTTCAAACCTGTGCACCTTCTGCAACTTCACAAAGGTTTATGAGCTTTGAGAAGTTGAATTACTTTGAAATGAGTACACAAGCCTGCATCAGTATATGTAACAAAAAAATAATTTTAAAAAAATCGATCTTTACAACCATCACAATTGTTACTAGACGATAAAAATATTCACAAGTGTGATTAAAATATGAAAGAAAAAAAACACAAAACATTTTAGTGTAGCTGAAAAATAAAATTCAAAAATAGTCTTAGATCAAAACATTAACTTCGGAAGCCAATGACCCAATGTTAACCCAAAACTTGCTCTTATTACCAATTTTAAAAAAATATGTAACATCTACAAAAATTTAAAAATTAAAATAATGTCTCAATTAATTTACTAAGAAGAAAAAATCATGCATGACAATGATATTTAAAGAAATTTTGTTTTTAAAATTTTCACAAATATCTTTTATTTAAAAAATTATAAAAATTAACAATTTCTAATCTATAACTCAAGTTATTTCATTTTTAATTCTTAAAATATTAGAAAAGACAATTTTAAACAAAGGTTTTATTCACAAAATGATGATAATATAATACAATGTTCTTTACAGTAGAAAAGGCGAACTAAATCTAATCTATTCCCTCTTGTTTCTCTCTCACAGCCTCCTAAAATAAAATATTTTAACATATTACTAACATGAAAATAATATTTAAGCATGATTATATCTAAATTATTCAGAAACACAATATACCTACTTATTTAATTTAAAATGAAAAAAAAAAAACATGACATATTTGCTGCATAGTAAAATGTTAAGCGAAAATTCTGTATACCTTGAATCTTTCTTCCAAGAGGGAAAGTTCACTAATCAAATCAGTGATAGCATTCGTGAAAGCTTCTTGAGGAGAGTATTCCATGACAGTTTGCACTCTAAGAAGAAATTTATACTCTAAAGGATGAGGATTTTTATAGCCAGCAAACAATACATTGGGGTCCTTTAAAAGTTGACTATAAGAAAACAAAATAATTATAAGTAAATTAAGCTTAATGCAGACTTTTTTTTAAAAAATACAAACAAATTAAGGCAAAAAATAATGAATACAAACAATCCCAATACATAATCTTGCCTTAGTTTGTTTGCATTTATGATTTTTTTACAAGACTTATACATTTAATTTTAAATAATTGATGTAGTTGAAGCTAAATTTGACATGAAGAATTTATTTCGTGGTAGAACATCCTCGAAATAAAATTGTCCAACACTGATATTCAGGCAATTTTTAATTTATCTTTTTATTGCCTTTATTATTACATATGGGCAGAGAGACAATTGTTCAATATCTTAAATGAGTAAAATGTTAAAAATTGATGAAATAATTTGATTTGATAAATAGGAATAGGATACTATATAATGCTTTACAGAATGTCATCTATATAAAAATAGGTTTTTATGATTGAGTGAAAAATCACAAGAACTAGTTTAGACTTTTTGAGGAAAATCCTTTTGTTGTAAAAAATCAATGCCTAAAGGACAGAGATTTATGTAATTTCCTTTGCAATTTTAAAATTATGAATTAAAAACATCAACTCAGTTTTCCAAAAGAAGACTTAAGTGAAGTGACTATTTTTAAGAAAAATATTCTGAAGGATCTATTTTTTAAAAAAATATTATGTGAAAGTACTGATTTCCCAACAAAATGTCTTGCGAAATATCCATTTTTAGGACAAAATATTTTATGAAAAGCTCATTTCAATTATAAAATATATATAGAGAGAGAGAGAACAGACCATGACAAACCCAAATGAACTCTGGTGCTTTTCCATCTGTTCCAAGTACAACAGTAAAAGGTCCAAGCACAAAGTGAAATGGTTTTAGATTAAAGATTTTTTTAGAACTGCGTACTATATAAGTGAATAAGAATGAACATTCTACATGAATAGGAATCAACACTCATTTTGGAATCCAATAATTCATAAAATCTAAGAATTAATATGTTACAATTTAACGGTCAAAAGAAATGAAGTCAAAAGATCAAGTCACTAAGTGTATATTTGGGGAAATTTTTTCAACCAAATTAAAAATATCAAATATATATCTATTTCCTTTCATTCAAACAACCACCAATCAATCAAAACACAGTAAAACTTCGAGGAAAGACCACCTCCGTGTAGCGACCTTCTCTATTTAAGACCACTTTTGGGAAGCATGGAATTTTTCAATAGACTTTGTCTTGAAGGAAACCTTTAGACTGAAGACTTAACCATGAAGACTTATTTCAGAAAAAACTAAGCATTTCAAACAAAACTTCTCATTTTTTGAAGCAAACTATTTTTTATGATACAAAATTAAATGCAAAAAACAAAAACATAATTAGTTATTTATTTAGAATAGCTCTATCAAACATAATTGGTAAATTTGTTCTTACATATAATTTCATCAGTTGTTTTATACTTTTTTCCGGAGTTAAATTATATTCATCAATTTGGTTTTCAAGACGGCAAAACAAGTAGATGTTGCCAATACAAATGACAATGACCAAAATTAAAATTGTTTGCAAAAAGTCATGTACCTATGATAACACAATGGAGATAACCCCTAAGAACGACCAATCTCCATTAACAGCCATTTTACGCCAGAACAGAAAGTGGTCGGTCTAGAAAGGTTTCACTGAACAAATGATTCAAACATGCTTAACTATGGAAAGAAATAAAAGTAACGCATTTTTATCATTTATCTTATTTATAAACTTACATTTTTGGTATCACAGTTTAAAAAATTAAACAAATACAAATGAAAGTACTATCCTTACCAGTACAAATTATGAAATTATTCGCAAATTCAACACACAATTCATTTACAAAAAAACACCAATTTTCCACATCTAATTGTTAATTAAAAATTTGACTAAAATTATAAAGGAATAACATTTTGGGTTAAATTTTAATCTCTAGCATTTAGAGTGAAAAACAAATAAAATAAAAAACAAATGACAAAGAACAGCACGATTTTTATTTGTAATTGAAATAAGCTTCTTTGATTTAGATCAGTGTTTCTCAACGTGGGGCCAACGCCCCACTGGGGGGCAATTTGATTGTTAAGGGGGGCAAATGAAAAATGGATTTGACATGAGTTTAACCCTTTTGCGCTGGGCCATTTGAATGTAATACTAGATTTCGATGCCAAAATTGAAAGAAAAAAGCAAATTCTTAAACAGTTGCAGCCAATTAATATTATAAATTCGTTTGACGAGACCAAAATATCAACTGGGTTTTTGGCGGCGTCAAGTTGACCTCCCTGCTGCAGGCTCTGAGTGAACCCTCGGACGCTTTAAAATCTCGCTAAACAATGCAGTTGTTTGCATCTGAAAAATAGACGATATGAGTGAAGATATTGAAAAACAACTTGTTGAAAAGCTGAAAACAAGAAAATTCTCATTGCTAATGGATAAATCAACTTAGATAGATAGTGCTGCAGTATTAATAACTTATGTAAGATATATTGATAAAGATATTGATAAACATTTTGCTGAAGAAAAGTTGTTCTGTAAAAGATTAGAAAGCACCACTACCGCCAAAGATATATATAATGAGTTAAAAAACTACTTAGATATCAATAATATACCAATGAAAAATATAACACGTTGCGCTGCAGATGGTGCTCCTAATATGATGGGCAAAAAAAAAATGGTTGCTTAAAATTGATGAAATATGAGAATCCAGAAATGATTCTTGTGCATTGTGTTATTCATAGGGAAAGCTTGGTAGCTAAAAACATCTCGACTGTTCTAATTAAAGTACTACATTCAGTAATAAAGTGTATCAATGATATTAAAGCTAATGCCAAACGTGAGCGTCTCTTCAAGCTATTTTGTGAAGAACAAAATGCAGACCATATCGCTTTTACTTCACACTGAAGTAAGATGGCTCTCTAAAGGGTGCTGCTTGAAGAGATTTATGGAATTTAGTGATTTTTTAAGCGACAAACTTGAAATGAAGTATCTGTTAACAGTCGATGGTAAAGCATTAGTGAGTTATTTAGCAGATATCTTTGAAAAACTAAATATTTTACATAAGCAATTTCAAGAAACAAATAAAACTCTTGTTGATGCAAAAGCGAAGATATTTTGTTTCATTACCTTATTGAGTTATGTCAGAAATATATTAACAACAAAATCTTCGAACAGTTTCATTGGCTCCAAATATGTGAAGTAAATGATACCGCTTTACTTGTTATTGTCGATCAACTGAAAATTGTATCGACTGATTAAAAAGAAAGATTTTCTGATTTAAAATAAATTAATTTTCCAACATGGATGATGCAGCCAATGTTAATGGATTTGTCTGATATATCAAATATGCAGTATCAAAAAGAACTCGCAGAAATGCAAAATGACGAGTCAGTTAAAACTTTATTTAATATAAAAGGAGTGATGGCACGGCTTTGAGAGGAAACAGAAAGCAAATACTCAAATTCAACCAAATGGGCAAGAAAACTATTGTTACCGCTTCCATCTTCATATTTTGCTGAATGTGGATTTAGTGCTGTAAATGATTTACTGGTAAAAAAAAGAAATCGTCTGGATATAACACAACGGGGAGACTTGAGACTGAAGCTAACGAAATTGGAACCTAACATAAAATCTCTGTGCAGCAAGCATCAACTGCAAGGATCTCACTAAATTAAAATATTAAATTATTGTAGAAAAATTTTGATTAAATTATTTCGCATTTGAATTTTTAGTTTTTCATTATACGTTTTGAAAATTTACATACTGTGTTTCGTTAACAATTTCCTAGTGATTTCTTCCGAAAACCTATCATTTAAGTTTTTTAAGTGAACAATTCAATTTTTTAATGGCAAAAATAATGTATAGGTTACATAGGGGGGCATAAGAATTTTAAAAAGGCTTAGGTGGGGCATGGCACAAAAAAGGTTGGGAAACATTGTTTTAGAGTCTCAAAATGAGGTGAAATCCGCGTATGCATTTAGAATATGGCTCGGTTGTTCTCGAACTCATCCNTTGCCTTTTTTTATGGTATCTATCTTTTACAGCTCTCCTCTCATTGCTTATGTACCACAAAAACCATGGCTTGTTAATGCAACACTTAAAGAAAATATTTTGTTTGGTCAGCCATATGATGGGCGAAGGTTAGTGCATTATATTTTATGTGAAAATAAACTGTTATTTGTCTATATATATATATATATATATATATATAAACAGTCTATTAACAGATCCCAATTAATCTGAAATTGATCCCTGGTGTTTTTCCATCTGTTCTAAGTACAACAGTAGAAGGTTCAAGCACAAAGTGAAATGGTTTTTGGTTAAAAAAAATTTTAGAACTGAGTGCTATATATGTGGATAAGAATGAACATTTCATTTTTATGCTGGACCTGAATGAACATTCCGCATGAATAGGAATCAACATGCATTTTGGAATCCAATAATTCATAAAATGTAAGAATTAGTATGTTACAATGTAAGGGTGAAAAAAATTAAAATTGAAAATATCAAATATATAATATATTTCCTTTCATTCAAACAACCACCCATCAAAACACAGCAAAACCTCCAGAAAAGACCACCTCTGTGTAGCAACCTTCTCTATTTACAACCACTTTTGGGAGGCATGGAAATTTTTTAATAGACTTTGTCTTGAAGGAAACCTTTAGGAAAGACCATCAAGACTTATATTAGAAAAAACTAAGCATTTCAAACAAACCTCCTCTCATTCTTTGAAGCAAACTATTTTTTATGATATAAAGTTAAATGCAAAAAACAAAATCATAATTATTTATTTTCTTAGAACAGCTCTATCAAACATAATTTGTAAATTTGTTTTTACATATAATTTTATCAGTAATTTTATACTTTTCACTGGAGTTAAATTTTAGTCATCGATTTGGTTTTCAAGACAGCAAGACAAGTAGATGCGGCCAATACAAATGAAAATGACCTAAATTAAAATCGTTTGCAAAAAGTCCTGTACGTAGGATAACACAATGGAGATAACCCCTAAGAACGACCAATCTCGTTAGCAGCCATTTTACGGCAGAACAGAAAATGGTCAGTCTAGAGAGGTTTCACTGTACAAATGATTCAAACATACATAACTATGGAGAGAAATAAAAGTAACACATTTTTATCATTTAACTTATTTATAAACTTATATTTTTGGTATCATAGTTTAATAAATTAAACAAATACAAATGAAAGTATTATCCTTACCAGTTCAAATTATGAAATTATTTGCATATTCAACACGCAGTTCATTTACAAAAAAACAGCGTGTAGCAAGCACCAATTTACCATATCAAATAATTAATTAAAAATTATAAAAGAATAACATTTTAGGTTAAATTTTAATCTCTAGCATTTATAGCAAAAAAACAAATCAAAAACGAAATCAAATGACAAAGAACAGCACAATTTTTACTTGTAATTGAAATAAACTTCTTTGATCTAGATTCATTCAAAATAGAAAGAAAAAAAATATTATATACTTTTTTAATAATTTCAGCATATTTTTCTTTTAAAGTTAAATCAGTATTTACATAACAGTTAGGTTGAAATACCCGATAGATTTCTTCTATATACAAGCAGATTACTTAAAAAAGTGTCTGGTAGAATGTACAGGGTATCCAGCCATTTTGTTTAAATTAACAAAATCATAATAAAGAAAATTCAAACCTAAGTATTGAAAAATGAGATGTGTGTATTACACTCATACCTAATTTGCTTTCAGTAAATTAGTAAAAACAATATTAATTTTTATTATTTGGATTTGTAAGTTTAGCATTTTATAGAAGCATAATAGACAACAGTTGCAAGCAAAATTTTAATATTTTCTCACAAATAACTCATTAATTATTCAAACACTCTTATAACTTAAGCATTAACGAAGATTAATTTCCTAGTGAATAAAAACAAAAGTTGAAACCAATATAATTATTTTAACAAAAATTTATAAATTTTTTGAAGATAGCTTTTATTTTAAAAACTTTATTTTTACATAACTGAACAAAAAACTCATTTGGAAACATTTATTACATTTACAATGTCAGTTGTTTAAATTTATATTGAAAAGAATCATGTATATATGAATAAAATTGGCCATTGGTAACTTTAAACTTAAATTCTATTAGAAAGCAAGTTTCTGATTCATATAGCTCAATAAATTCAATTACCAATCACTCAAGAAGCAATGGCAGGTTTTAGAGGGAGGTTTTTTTCTGTGCAATGCAAATATGCGTAAGTTTCATAATTAAAATTTTTCATAAAAGTAAATTACCCCCTTGTTTGCTGAATGATCTAAAGGTTACTTATCATTCAAGGTTCAAAATTACTAGGTGGTGGAGATCGAGTCGTTATATTAAGAACAGCAAAACCACTATAGGAAAATGTATTAAGGTAGATCTCATTGTACATAAATTGCATTTACGTTTACTGGATGATTAAGAACAAAACAGTCACAGTCAAAACATTTTTCATTTAATGTATCACCATTTTGTTATAATATTTTTTAAATATCTTACGCTAAACAGCTACATTAACGAATGCTATTGAAAAGTTAATTAACTATTAGCAGATATCTCCACTTTATAACAAAATTTTATGTTAATCGTTTAATACTGGTACAGATAATCTAAATTTCTTTTAAAAACAGTTTTAATTTTTTTTAACAAAATCTAAAAATAAAAATTTATGATTTTTTTTATAAATATCCACAATAAATTTCCTTTAACTATATCTTGCTAAATATTTGTTCAATATAAAATTATACACTTTTTATATTACTTTGCACAAATGTTTTAATACTAGGCCTGGTAATAAATCCAAATTTTACTGTTTACTCGGAACTGTCTGGGTGACACATAAAAAAATTTTGAGCATTTGTGACTGAATAAAATTTTTGCTAGGCATCCTGCCTGAGCCAGACATAAAAGATTCAATTTTCACCGGGTAACCGATGCACTTTTATTATTTGGAGAATGCAGTCAGCAAGGATAGTAAAGCAAACAGAATGCCATTCCAGAACTAAATACTACAATACAATTGTTATGAATAAATAAAACTATAAACAATAGTAGTGAAATAAAAATTTAACACATAAACACTAAAGTAACAACAACAATTATTTTGCTAAATAACTATCATAGATTTTAAACTCTTAACTTAATAATTATCTCGAGTTTTTAAATTAAGGAGCTAATAGCAACAAAGAAAGAATAGTACTAATATTTTGAACTTTAATATTTCACAAAAGTTTCAGAAATACAATTTCAAAAATATTTAAAAATAAGAAAATTCAAAATACTCACTTTTTAATCATGTTGCCAAGAGTATGATCTTCTTTATTAACAGTAAAAATTGCAGCATTTGGAACTTTAGTATCTTTCTCTATAGTGATTCTAATAAAAATAATAATTTATTAGTAATTAGTATCAAAAATAAGACTTTTAGCAGAAATTTTAATGACAAAATAATTTATTCATTGATACTTCCATTAAATAACTTAATACAACTAATAAACACAAATAATTAAGAACTGAATGATTTATTACCACAGTTAGTAATATTGACAAACTGGGATGTCATGAGTGAATACATTCATAATCATTCTACTTTTGTGGATATTATTAAAGTTAATTACTTATTAAAGCTGTAAATTTATTATTTGTAAAAATAGATATTCTAAAAGAAATTTTTCAAACATTGATTCATTAAAAGAAAATAAGAATGATGCTTACAAATGTTTAGGGATGTTAGAAAAATGATTAATGCTTATGCCATTTTTGGAATAAAATCATTCTGTTATCAAGAAATAGTATGAGTTTCCAGATATTTTTGGATAATGTGCACAGATAGTTTTTTTAATCTAACTCTGTTTATTACTATTTATTTATTAACAAATATGATTTTTTATTTATAACCGTTGCTCAACAGCCGACCTAATTTTGAGTTTACGACTACCAATGCTCAACTCCATACCCCTGAATTTTGAACCCAATCCAAAACACAAAGCAACTCCTGGATCAGATATTAGGAGAAAGTTATCATCGAAGAAACTTTTGATGGAACTAACCTGCATTTGCATTACAAGGAAAGGAAAAACATCAAAACCTTCCACGGTTTGACTGACAGCAAGCAATTTTAACCAATGGTTTGACAGCAAGCGATTCTACCACTAAAGATATATTACATCAGCACTGTGGTTGGTGTGAGCCGGGGATGGAATTCGAATCCGTCCACCTCGTTGGGAGGCAAGCAGTCTATCCCCTGAGCCACCAAGGAACTTTAATAAACAAAGCTGTTGAAAAATTATATCTATGTTTATAGTATTATCATAATAAACTGGTGGAGTCATTAAAATTGATCAACAGCTGTGAAAGCAGGGGGCAGAATTGATTTCAAGGGAAATTCTGGGTAGTCAGCCCTAGAAAAAAAAATTTGTCTGCTAAAAAAAAAAAAAAAAAAAAGAATCCTGATATTTTTTAATACTAAATTACAATATGGAAATTAGCATTGGTCTGAATTATCATTTTTTAGTGTACTTTTTTCATGCTGATTCCATTGTAAATCTGTGAGGAATTTGGGTAAATTTTTTTGGAGACATTACTATAAATTTTTTAAGGTTTTTTTTTTACATTGTCCATATTTTTCATATGATATCATTACGACACTCGAAATATAAATTGCGCGTTTGAGCATTGCTTTTTTTTTTTTATCTGATGATTATGCTGTTTTGACAATGAATTTTCGCATATTGCCATTGATTTGCATAATAAGATTTTTAAAATGCCGATAGACTTAATCCAAACTCAAATTAAAATTGCGCATTTGAACAATCTCTTTTTGTCGCATATATGCATTTGTGCCAATTTCAATATCCAATTCCATCAATGAATTTATGCTAAGTGATTTGAAAGTTATTTTTGGCTTTTGATCTTTAAATATTTTATATTTTAAATTCTGGAATTTTTGGTAAACCTCATCATTTTTAAAATCTTGATATTTTCTATATGTTATTCATTATGACATACAAAATTCCAATCATGCATTTGAGTAGTCACTTTTTGGCCTATCCAATTCATTTGATTTCATTGTAAATCTACATGTTTGTGGGGCAGATCTCTTACTCTGCAACTATTCTCCTATTGATACAAAATGTGAAAGTAATAATAGTCATATAATATAAATTTATTCCTTCACATGTTGGTGGGAAAAAATTATTAGATACAAAGCATTTTTTCTTTTCCTTTTAAATTTTATTAATGTTATTTTTGTGAACAAGAATCCTAATCTATTATTCAATATTTTTCATTTAATTAAATTGAGATAATCTTCTATATATGAAAAAAAAAATTTGTATTAGGAAAACTACACATAAAGAAAAAAAACTTCCTTTGAAAGAAAAATTTTAAAACCATTTAGTTTCTAAATATTTTCAGATAATTTCTTGTTCCAGCAATCACATGTCTGCCTCTACACAACATAATGTCTATTTCAACAGGTAGAACAAATTTTTTTGATGGAAAATTATTTGTCCAAGGGAATGTGTAATAACTTTATTTTTAGGATATATCTATGATTTTCAACATATTTAAAGTGCTATAGAGTGTAAGTAAAATCACATAGGTATATGGAAAAGTAAATCATCATTTATATATTAAAATATATATTTTTAAAAATTATTTTAAGATAATTTCAATTACTTATACCACATCCACTTGTTGTGCTTCAAAAGGAATATTTTCTGTTATATTAAATACACAAATAACTTTATAAATTGATTTGTATAATTAGTTTGAAATTCTTAGATTTATGAGTGGGATCATTTTTTTAACACATATGCTAATTTATACAGGAATTGAGCAAAATCAAATGATTTTAATTATTATTAAAATTTTGTGACAATATAAAACTTGATTTTCCTAAAATATTTTTAAAATGTTATTGTAACTAAACAAAAAGACTAATGTATCTGCACATATTTTTCAAAAAAATTTTCAGAAAACACCTGCTAATGTGAGGTGTGGATTGTACTTATGCACCCAAATAAGTGTAATGTAAAGGTAAATTTAAAGTGATGCACAAAATCGTTATGTGTGCTTAATTGAAGTTAAAATTTCATTGCCAGAAATAAATTTGCCAGAAAATTTTCTTTACCAATATTTTTATAAGGTTCATGAATTGCATAGATGTTTTTTTCAACCTATCTACACAGTGCGGATGAATTAAAATTGGGCAAATTAATCATGACGTGATCTGAAGTAGGTCGTATGTTAGAATTGACACTAATTTTGTTTACAGGTATTCTGTTTTCAATAGAACCTTGCAAGTTAGGTGAGAAATTAAGAAGTAAATTTGTTGTGTGTGAAAAGATTTAAGATGATAGTCGAGTCAATTTTATAATGTTGAGCATTTTCTAAAAAAATGATTAAAGGTTTATTAAACAGTGATTTTTGAAAAAAAGAAATAGGAAACATATTTCCTAAATAACTTTATCATTGCGTCTTTTTTATATGCCTTTTTAGCGTTGATAAAGAATAGTTTTGTGTTCATATATTGATATATTTTTATAAGCCTAGCAGCTAGCAGCAGAGACATGTAAAACAAGTTTTGCATTGCAAATTACTAGCTTGGTTTCGTCTCAATACATGACCTACCTGTGTAATAAACTTTTATTTTTTTCATAGATGAGTCTTAGTTTTATTTTTCTAATGCAACTACTCAGTAAACCCTACACTGATGTGTTTTTAAAGTTAACTGCCACTGCTCGATTCCTTCTAACTCTCCATATGCAGCAGCATCCGAACAAAACAAAGATAAATATGTAAAGTGTTTACGTTTTCCTTTTTTAAAGGAAAAAAAAATCAGAAATTTGAAATAGCTCTTGTTTTTGATGCACTCAATCTTAATGAAGGTTAGCAATAACTTCTTTTTGATGGTTAACGCTGTGGACACAGTTTCAAAAATACCAATACTTTTAATAAAACATTATTACAATGCACGAATTTCAAATTTTAGTTATCAGTTCTGACTCTATTTGTGTGTGTCAAATTCATCATCCATAAAATTACTTTTCAATATCATTGTAAAATTTTTAGCACAGGGTTTTCCAGTTTGTTAAAAAACGAAATGATATTTAAATTTAAGCTAGATCCATGACAATCAGGCTCATTAACAGTACAATATACAACAAAATAATATAATACAGCAATTGCAATGATGAACGAGTTTACAGCTTAAACTTTTTTTGAAAATGTAAATAAAAAAAGAAGACAGATTCTTTTGTTTTGGATATTCCTATTTAAACATAAATGAAACGAATTTAAGAAATGCTTATACGTTTAAATATTGCAAGAAAAATTTGGTTCATAATATGCACATATTATGTGGAGATAGCATAAGATATTTAAAGATTAACTCAATATTATTGCATTCATTATGGAGTCTCAGTAACTTTAAATTATTCAATGAATTTATAGTGTTTTCAAAAAATTAAGAAATTACTTTTTTTCTCCTTCGAACAATAGAAATGACTCGAAAGCAGGTGGGGCATTCATTTCAGGTTCTTTGAAGCAATTTACTCAATTATGGAAGGAAATATTTAAACCTTTAACGACTTTTCTTTTCTTTTTTAAGGATTAAACTGTTTTGATTCGAATCATGGAAGGCCTTTAGTTCCCTATTTCTGTTTTGCAAGGAATTAATTTCACTTTCAGATTGCTAATTTTTATTTTATACTTCAGTGGCCGAGCGTTATTTATCACTCTTTGGGCACTTCAATTCGTCTTCGAAAAAAGGAGAGATTCTGATTAGCGCATTTTTACAGGAAAATAGTTTACACCAATCAGAATTTCAATCTCTCTGAACCGTGAAAATAAGTGCTTGATTCAAATTCAGTGAGAATGAGCCTTCAAAATTTACCACACTAGATGGCAGCACAATACATAAATCTTTTCGTTGTGCTGAAATTCCTTGCAGATGGCAGTTGTCAGAATTCTTTATTTAAGGTTAGTATCTCACAATCACTGCTAGCGGAGGACGTTTTCACGCATCAGGCTACACTGAAAACCGCACTCTTAACTTAATTTTGAACAAAATCTTAAATAAAAGGAAAACTTAATCTCCTGAGTACTCAGTTATCTCACTAGTGTATAGCTATAACGATGCATAAAATTACAATATCTCTACCTTAAAATTATTAAATCAATGTATTTATATCAACTTTAAATTTTGATTAAGGAACTTTATGAAGAAGATAAATAAAAGTTAACGAGTTTAAGGTTAAAAAAAAATGTTTGTTTAATTAATGAAAATATCACCTCAAATAAAAAAAACTCTTGAAAAGAATATTAATATATCTATTATGAGTAACATTTTTAATGAACTTAGTATTTTATGAGCTACAAATATGAAAGCATAAATAATAATATTTATTTTTTCGTGCTGTAGCACATGCAAATAGATTTATTGACTCTTCAAAATCTATTGTTTTACGGTTTCATTTTCGATACAATTTTTTACTAAGTCTCCTTACAGAATTTAGTCACCTTAATCTTAAAGATTTCAGCATGTAGATTTTGATATCTTCTAATTTGCTAAAAGAGTGTTCACCACACGGATAAAAAATTCTGGCAAAATTACCATACTAGTAAAGTTATTTCTGGTAAAATGAACTATAATTTTGGTAATTAAATCAAAATATGTGGTATTTAAACCATTTATTTGGTAAATTTACCTTTCACTAAGGTAAAGGTTATCGAAAATTCTGGTTTTCAAAATTATAGTCCTTATTACCATAGATTTAGTAACAAATACAAAACTGAAAAATAAATTGAACCAAATGAATTGTTTTAATGCCCTAATGCTTTTAAAGCATCACAATAAAAATTACCAAAATGGACTTCAGAACTATCACTCATTTTGTAATTTATATGGTAATTTAATCTTTTGATGTCTATACTTTTTAAAAAACAAATATGGCAATAGACTATTTACACTTCGGTGGGTTTATTTAAAATGGCGTTATATTTAAATGGTTGATGGGAGTTAGTTGACTGTTAATTGTTTCTTATTATAATATAATTTCTTATTATAATAAAATTTCTCGATTATAACAAAGTAAAAAGAGACATGAACGAGGGCTTGAAATTAATTAAAGTGCTTAAAAAATACAGAACTCAGATATGTCAAATTACGGTAATTATTTTACTTATCTTTTATTGGGGTAGTATTATATATTTACGTATATATATGTGTATTTCTTTTTAAATAAAAAGAATGGCTTAAAAACTCTCTTCAGTTTGAAAAAAAAAGAATTCCACAATTTCGCTAAAGATATCAAGAATATGCACCCAGTTTATTAGCAAGATTCGAGCCCACTATGCATGTCTACGCTTCAGAGCGTTTAACGGAACAGCAATAATGCGCAACGAGATGCAAGCAAAATAACCATAAAATTGGGAGCTCCATTTCCATGGGGTGTTGACCTTTCACCAAATGCTTACTTAAATTGTAAAGTGATTTATACTTAATATAATCCTATTTATTTCCTAAAACTAACATGAGATAAACCACTACATTAAAAAGAATGAATGTGGGGAGAGAAGTTATAAACCATGTCAACATTCATCTATGGAAAGGTACCCCATCATAGAGTCGAGTTAACCTGTCTTATATACTAGTGAATTATAATTGTAATTTTGTAGTGGTAAACACACTACACTAGGGCTAAATGGTCATTCTTTAATGTCACTCCTCTTTCTAATTTTGTCTGTCATTAACTCTCTTTTGGAACAGTGGCGTGAAGTTTAAATAAAACTTTTACATAGAGCCATAGAGCTTGGATTCACTTTCTTTAAACCATAAAGAAAATGAATCTAAGAATATATATTAAAAAATAAAAATCTATAAATGTATTTTTCAAACAAACAATATTTTAAGAAAAGTGGAAATCAATAATTTAATGAGTATTAAATCTAGGTCTTGCTCGCCTAACGGTAACCTGGCATTGGGCGATCACCGTTTTAGCTAACCCCTTCTTGCAATACCTCCTTATTAGAATATATGGATAGTCATAATAAGAATATTGTTAATTTCTTACCTGATTTTGAAATTTTTCAAATTATTTTGAGTAGAACAAAGTGCTTAAAGTAAAAGCTTCTAAAATTTTAGAAGTGAGGAATAATGTGACTGATCACTACAAAAGGGGGGAATGTTTGCTACATGAAACCGATATCTAATATAACGAGGTAATGACGATGGTCTGATAAGCATCCCTTAAAGAATACAAAGATATGCCAACACAATTTTGATACTTTGCATAGAAGATGACTGCCCCGCTTTGGTAGCTCGATAGCAAGTGCACAAAGTTAAGCATTTTAAAGGGACATTCACCCAGTATGCGAAAAAATTACGCATGTCAATTCAGAGTTGCGAACATGAACCTTATTTGGGAAGCTTTTCACGGGCAAATATATTTCACCAATAAGCTTCTCGTTCTCATCTCCAAAATTCGCAGACGCAGATTGTTAAAAATATTTACACATGAGAAATATTTACATATTCAAAATGGTCTCCCGTCCGCTTTGGTAGCCCGATGGCCAGCGCACTAATTCGGACACTTTAAAAAAACGTTCACAAAGGATGCTGAAAAAGCCGTCTGTGAATTCGGAGGTGTGAACATTCTTTGGTTTATCAAAATATAATACACTCTCCTGCAGTGAGAATGCCTAACTCAATCATAGTAATTCAAGTTTTTAAAGAATTTCAACAATTTTTCGTTCAAAAAAATTCTTTTTTTAAAAACAGTATGTCCTATGAATCTGAAAAACACCATTACTGCAATTTTGGTGTTTTCTTTTATTAAGTTTCTTACATATTTTTAAAAAATAAGTAAGAATAAAGAAGATGCTTCAGACATTTTTTTAATAGAGCATTTATTGTTTTCCTAATACATTTAAATGCCCATGAATTCAATATTTTTGAACAGAAACCAGGCCATTATACATGACAATTCGGACGAATAGAAATGGACAAATCCTTTCAATATCTGTGGGAAGAAATTGTGAGTAATATTAGTTGCTAGAAAAAAAAATTTTTTTTAATTAAACACTCTCTTTTCTTATTACAATAAATACTTCAAGGAAGAAAAATTGCGAATGTTATTAACTATCTAGAACTACATCTTCACTACTCTCTACCTTAACCAGGAATCTCTTAGAAAATTGATAGTCTTATTCAAACTTTTCCTTTAATTTTTCTCTCAAACCTTTATGCCAAATCATCATCTTTGGTCCTTCCTTTTTCCATTTACTTTGGAGAGTATAATGTAAGGTCTATCTCACCCTAACGCTTTTTTCTCTATATCTAGTTAAGCATTCTCCACTTTCTCATTCTTAATTTTGTAACCAATGGAAAATTGATTGCTATTGTTAAGTTGAAAATTCCACTTATTCCGCACTAATTTGCCCTCATCTGTCTCACCTTCCTAATAGACAATGCAACCTAAATAAAAGAAACTACCAACTTCTTAAAAGTACGTGTCTATTTAGTTTAAAATTTATTTTTTCAATTTTACAGTTTTCATTGTGTTTGTATTAAAAACCCACATTCTTAGCTTCCCAGACCATGAGGTTTTTATTTCTCTGCTTGAACATAAAAACTCATTGGTTGTCCAGAGGTTAAAAGGAAAAGAGTTTTAAAAAATGGAGGACTCTCTTAATTGGAGAATTTAGAAAGAAGAAGAAAAAATTTAAAAAATCCTTTTGTTTTAAACATGGAAAGTAAATCTTTTGACTGAATTTCTTTATATAATTTATCTTTCTCAGATAGTTTAGCTCGTTTTATTTCCAGAACCTTCATTAGGTGTGTGTTACTAAATTTTATGTAATTAACAAATATTATATTTTGGAAAAAATTCCGAATATCAGAGGAAAGTAATAAAGACAATATTATAAATGAAAAATTGGATTCTTTGTTTTTATCTACTGTTTGAAAAAAAATTATATAAATCTTTTTAGTTTGCGCTTTTTAGATTCTTTCTTCTTATCAAATAAACAAACAGGCTCTGGTATTTTTTATTTTACTTCCCTCAATTTGGTAGATTTCTATATTTTTATTTCGCTTAGATATCAATATGTGAACCTTAATGTATGTGTTTCGAACTTTATTTTTTGAAAAGGATAAAAAAAAACATATTTTATAGGAGTAGTGATTAAGGAATTACCTTATAACAACATTTTCCAGAAAGATAATAAGTACTTCTCACATTTGACCCTACGTTTCATCATTCATCACAAGGTTCCTCTTCTCTGCAAGGATATGCTAAAACTAAAAATAATAATAGCAACAATAATAATATCAATATCAACAATAATAATAATAATAATATTTATAATCATAGATCTTTAAGAGAGCAAAAGTTTATTATTTTCATTAATATTGAAATAAAAACATAATTTATAAAAAAAATTTTCGTCAAGCCCTTGTTAATTTCACAGGCTCATGAATTTTGTTTAAATTTTAGAAATTATTCAAAGTAAATTGTTATCACATATAAGAAATTTATAACTTAGTTTTAAAATAAATGCAGCTAATTTAAAGTAAAAAAAGAACGATGACTTTTTCTTCTCACTTTTGTTCTCTATAATAAAAAGAGAAAACGAAATTTCAAATATTTGTTACCTTTTATGCGAAAAAGTGATGAGCAGAAATTTTAAAAAAAAAATATATTATATATAACATTGGTTATTGAAATAATTTTACTGTAAAAGAAAAATATCCGAGCAAAATTTAGGAAGTTATTCGAAGAAAGACTTTTCAATTTTTGAAATTCTTTAAGGCGGGGAATTTATGTATATGCAGGGTGCCTGCTGAAGTGTTGAAATATCTTTTACATTTTCTAATAACTTAAGCTATACCTATAAAAATGATGTCTATACAGAAAGAGAATTATAACCCTACTTTATAAGATCCCCACAGCGCCGTCTGTGTGAAATCTGAACAATTAGTATTTCTATCTCGAAAACGGTTACAAATTAGAATGAAAACTAAAGAATAAAGTTGTTACTCATTGTCGATTCATAACAAATAGATACCTCAAGGATATCTAAATTAAAAAATGAACTGTTGAAAAGTGCATGAGTTTATTCGCAATTTCATAAACTGAGTCGCAATTTTTTTTTTTTTCATTAGATGGCTCTATTTTCATTCTTTAAGCTTCTCTGGAGCGTTGCAAACCTCGAATTAAGGGAGTTATGGGATTCTTCTTTCATTCAGAGGGAATTCAATGCGTTATACTTTAATGAATAATCTCATCAAGGGAAATATTAGGATAATTTCTTTGAAACTTTTCCTAAATCAACTGACTAAAATTTTATCGCTTTATTGGATTGAATGAACATTGGAGATTGAACATTGACCATCGGTCGTTATAATGAAAGGAATGCTGTAAAGGCAAGTGGTACTAAATATTGTAGACTGCGCTTACTAAGAGTGATCCCGACATTTTTTATTTTACATGCATCAGTATTGTTACTATGACTGCCGTTATATCTAAATTTAAAATATATGTATGATATGTACTGTATTTTACATTAATATTACTTAAACAGTATGTTCCTTCAAAATGTAGGCAACACTCAAACGATTACTGTAAAACAATTTATAGCGACAAAGGTTCTTTCATACGTATTATTATGTGTATAAAAGATTATTAAAAAAAACTAATGATTCTTTAGAATTTTCGATTCATTCTTAATTTTTTATTACAGTTTTATTTTGAATAAATTGAAATTTGCAAAAATCCTTTAGAGCTAACAAAATAATAGTAATAATTTGTAAATAAAGAAAAATGTAAAAACTTAATTTAACGAGTTTTTTCTGTTTTGATATTAAGTTATGAAAACTTCAAGAACATGTTATGTTCGGTAATTAATCTATAGACATTAGTTTTATCAACAACAAAAAAACTTACCAGAACATGCGAGAACACAAACAGTTAACAACATAACGCAAACTAAATGTGAAATATTGTTGAACATCTTTTTTATTGAACCTTATTTAGTTGATTTCAACTGAATCTATGGATTGAATTTTTGAGAGTTTTTAATAAATTTTTCGAGCATTCGATTATATATACACGAGAATATACACAATTGTGCTCATTTAAAATTCAGTATTATTTTAATGATTGTTAAGAAAGTTGATTACAAAAGTTTTCCCTTTGTTCCTCTATAGCTGTGACTTCATAGAAATCATTATCTTGAAAAGTTACCTTAGAAATATGTTTTAAGTACTTGCAAAATGGTTAAATGACTCTGTTTATTACATTCACGTGCAAATATAGCAATAAAATCTCACGCTGTAACATCTCAAAAATAATAAATGATTTCTATAATAATGTTCCTGCAAGATTTTATTAATACAACGCGATTTGTATTCGCCATGCTTCATATCGCTATTATTATATCTATTAATTGATAATACACGTCTATTACAAAGTTAAAATGCTTTATTAAAAAGTTTTGTTTAGGAAATTTAGATAAAAATATTACAATATAATATTTTTAAAATCTTTTTTGTTTCTTAATTAATTATTTTTTACAAATTTAATGATTTGCATATCTGAAAAGAACATTTTGATTTAATTATTTTCAAAACTTCTTCTAGAAAAAGTAACTATGTTTACTTAAAAAAACAATTATATTATTTACATGAAAAATTCATTTTAAAAAATCTCTACTTATGTTGATAATAGTAAGACAATGAATTTTCACGGAATAGTGTCGTCATAGTCTAAAGATAGCGTCAAATTACAGTTGCAGATTATTATAAAGTTTGTTCATATTTACCGAATGGCAGAAATACTCTAGCAATAAATATTAGTAAAAAAACCTATTTATTTTGAGAAAAAACAATGAAATCTCTTCAGTATTCATAAAAGTTTGTCTAGAAGTAAAATAAAGTACTTCTCACGTCTCAGATCTACCTAAACAAGATTTTTGTCGTTTTATTAAGAAAACAAATATAATATGAAAATAGTATAAATAACCTTTTAAATAAATAATATAGGGTAAGCCTAGGAATAATAGCTATTGTTCTTACAAATTAAAAAAAAAGGGCTAGGAATAACGATACAAGAAATATTTATGCATATTTTAAATTCTCATGCGAGTACTCAACATATTTTGAGCAAAGTTTAATGGAATATTGAAAACAAAATATGAAGGAAAAAAAGGCATTTTAAAATTAAGCAAAGAAGTGGCCATTTCTCCTTAACGACGAGGGGAAGATGGCAATCTAAGAAAAAGTTTGTAAAATACGGAAAAAAAACAAATTCCATACAGATAACCATGAAAAGCTTACATTAAGCTATAAAGAATTAATTTCATGGTCGAAAATAGGCAAGAAGAATATAACAAACAAAAACTAATGTACAGATTTAATCAATCACTTTCGAAAAAATTTTAATATATTATTGGCAAAGATTTTTAAAGTTCGTATATGTTTCATGGAGCCAATACTGGCACCTTACACATCTCATCCAGTCATGTTTGTTAGTTGTGGTATTGTATTCTTCTCCATAGCTAACACACTGATACTCAGCAAATTGAATATCGAAATTGAATATCTCCGGTAGTGAGAATGCCTAACTCAATCATAGTAATTCAATTATTTAAAGAGCTGTTAAAGTATTTTTTAATAAGACCGTATGTCATATGACTCTGCAAGACTCTTTTACTGCAATTTTGCGGTTTTCTTTTATTAAGCTAGTTGTTTCTTACATATTTTTAATAGATAAGTAAGAATAAAGAAGATGCTTCAAACATTTCTTTAATTGAACATTTATTGGTTACCTTACACAATTAAATGCACATGAATTCAATATTTTTGAACAGAAACCAGCCCATCATACATGACAATTCCGACGAATATGAATGGACAAATCCTTTTGATATCTAAAATAAGAAATAATGAGTAATATTAGTTGTAGGAAAAAATAATTTTCAATGAAGCACTCTTTTTTGTTATTATTATAAATTTTTTAAAGAAAAAAAATTTGAATTATTATTAATTATCTAGAACCGTGTTTGTGACAGCCTCTTCATTGCTCTCCATCTCAACCAGGAACCTCTTTAGGAAATTGCTAGTCTTATTCAAACTTTTCCTTTAATTTTTCTCTCAAACCTTTATGCCAAATCGTTATCTTTGGTCTTTCCTCTTACCATCTACTTTGGAGAGTATAATGTAACGCCTATCTCACCCTAAAATTTGTTTTCTCTATGCATAGTTAAGCATTCTCCACTTGCTCATTCTTAATTTTGTAACCAATGGAAAATTGATTGCTATTGTTAAGTTGAAAATTCCATTTATTCCACGCTAATTTGCCCTCATCTGTCCCACCTTCGTTGCAGACAATGCAACCTAAATAAGAGAAACTACCAACTTTTTAAAAGTGCGTCTCTTGTTCAAAATTTATTTTCACAATTTAAGTTTTCAATGTGCTTGTATTAAAATTCACATTCTTAGCTTCTCAGACCATGAGGTTTTTATTTCCCTGCTTGAATATAAAAACTCATTGGTTGTCCAGAGGTAAAAAAGAAAATAGTTTTAAAAAATTGAAAACTCTCTTATTTGGAGAATTAAAAAAGAAGAGGAAAAAAAATTAGAAAATCATTTTGTTTTAAATACGGAAAGTAAATCTTTTGACGGAATTTCTTTAGAAAATTTTTCTTTTTCAGAGAGGTAATCTCATTCTACTTCCAGAACCTTCATTGGGTGTTTGTTACTAAATTTTATGTAGGTAATTAACAAATAATTTGGAACAAATTCCAAAATCATAGGAAAGTAATAAAGACAATATTTTAAATGAAAAATTGGATTCTTAGTTTTCATCTACTGCTTGAAAAAAAAATTATATAAATCTTTTTATTTTGTGTTTTTCAGATTCGTTCTTCTTATCAAATAACCTAACAGTTTTCTTATTTTTTATTTTACAATTTGGTAGATTTCCATAATATTTTTATCTCACTTAGATATCAATTTGTGAGCCCAAATGTATATGTTTTGAACTTTATTTTTGAAAAGAATAAAAAAAAAACATATTATAAGAGTAGTGATTAAGGAATTACCGTATAACAATATTTTCTAGAAAGATAATAAGTAATTCTTACATTTGATTCCACGTTTCATCAATCATCACAAGGATATGCTGAAAATAATAATAAGGATATGGTAAGGTTAAAAATATTAATAATCGCAATAATAATATCAATATCAATAATAATAATAAAAATAATATTTATAATAATAGATCTTTAAAAGAAGCAAAGTTTATTGCTTTCATTAGTATTGAAATAAGAACATAATTTTTTAAATTTAAGATTTATTTCATCAAGCCTATGTGAATTCTCAAGCTCAATAATTTTGTTTAAGTTTTAGAAATTATTCAAAGTAAATAGTTATTACATATAAGAAAGTTATAACTTAGTTTTTAAAAAAATGCTGCTAATTTGAAGTAAAAAAGAACAATGATTATTCTTCTCTCTTTTGTTCTTTATAAGAAAAAGATTTTTAAAAAAAATTCTAAATATTTGTTACCATTGAGATGCCAGAAACTATTAAAAGAAATTTTTTAAAAATTGGATAACATTAGTTATTGAAAAAATTTTACTGTAGCACAAAAATATCCGCGCAAAATATAGGAAATTATTCGAAGAAATTGAATTTTTGAAATTCTTTAACGCGGAGAAGATATGTATATGCAGGGTGCCTGCTGAAGTGTTGAACCATCTTTAACACTTTCTAATGACTTAAGCTATACTTATAAAAATTATGTCTATACAGAAAAAAAATTATAACCCTACTTTATAAGATCCCCACAGCGCCGTCTGTTTGAAATCTGAACAATATTTCTATCTCGAAAATTTTTCCAAATTAGAATAGAAAACTAAAGAATAAAGTTGTTACTCATCGTTGATTTAATACAAATAGATACCTCAAGAATATCTAAATTAAAAAATGAACTGTTGAAAAGTGCATGAGTTTATTCGCAATTTCATAAACTGCGTCGTAATTTTTTCTTCATTAGATGGCTCTATTTTCATTCTTTAAGCTTCTATAAAGCTTTGCAAACCTCGAATTAAGGGAGTTATGTGATTATTCTTTCATTCAAAGGGAATTCAATGCCTTATACTTCAATGAATGATCTCATCAAAGGAAATATTTGGATAATTTCTTTGAAACTCTTCCTAAATCAACTGACTAAAATTCTATATCTTTATTGGATTGAATGGTCCAAACGGACGTTCGTTCTAATGAGCATTAAAACAATATTGTGTCAATGGAGTAGCAAGTGGAACATTAGGCATCGGTCGTTATAATGAAAAGAATGCTGTAAAAGCAAGTCCTACTAAATATTGTAGACTGTGTTTACTAAGAGTGATCACGACATTTTTTATTTTGCATGCATCAGTATTGTTACTATGATAGCCGTTATATCTAAATTTAAAGTATATGTATGATGTGTACTGTATTTTATATTAATATTACTTTAACAATATGTTCCTTCAAATTGAAGGCAGCATTAAAGCGATTTCCTAAAAAAAAAATTTATAGCGATAAAGGTTCTTTTATATGTATTATTATGTGTATAAAAGATTATTAAGAAAGGATATGATTCTTCAGAATTTTAGATTCATCCCTAATTTTATTTTTTAGTTTTATTTTGAATATATCGAAATTTATAAAATTCTCTTAGAGGTAACAAAATAATAGTAATAACTTGTAAATAAAGTAAAAAGTAAAAACTAAATTCAATGAGTTTTTCTCGGTTTTAATATCAAGTTATGATAGCTTCAAGAACATGTTATGTTCGGTAACTAATATATAGACAATAGTTTTATCGACGAAGGAACTTACCAGAACATGCGAGAACACAAACAGTCAACAACATAACGTAAACTAAATGTGAAATATTGTATAACATCTTTTTCATAGAATCTCATTCAGTTGACTCCAACTGCATCTATAGATTGATTTTTTTAGTTTTTAATCAATTTTTGTAGCATCCGATTATATATATAAAAGCATATACATAATGGTGCTCATTTAAAATTTAGTATTACTTTAATGATTGTCAAGAAAGTTGATTACAAAAGTTTTCCCTTTGTTCCTCTATAGCTGTGACTTCATAGAAATCATTATCTTGAAAAGTTACCTAAGAAATATGTTTTAAGAGTTTGCAAAATGGTTAAATACTCTGTTTATTACATTTACGTGCAAATATAGCTATAAAAATCTCACGTTTTAACATTTCAAAAATAATAAATGATTTCTATAATTAATGTTCATGCAAATTTTAATTAATACATCGTACTTTCTATTCGCCATGTTTCATATCACTATTATTATATCTATTAATTGACAATACACGTCCATTACGAAGTTAAAATGTTTTGCTAAGAAGTTTTGTTTACGGAATTTAGATGAAAATATTACAATATAATATTTTTAAATCTTTCTCGCTTCTATCAATTTTTATCAATTTTAAATTTATTTGCAGTGATTTTCCTAACTAAAAAGGACAATTTGTTTTAATTACTTTCAAAGGTTCTTCTAGAAAAAGTAACTATGTTTACTTAGAAGAACAATTACAGTTTACTCTCGATTATCCGTGCTCATTCCGGAGTCACACAAAAAATATAAAGAGAAATATTTTCAAGTTTAAAAAAATTTGATTCATGAAGTTATAACATTGCAAAATTCTTTGAAGCAATATTCGTTATTGGATTGCTGTATATGGAATATCAGCAGCATGGTCAAAGGTAAAATCGTCTCCGTTATCACGGTCGCGGCGAAAGATCATACCGCTTGATGAATAATCTTCTTCAAATATTCAGGAAAAATATGATAACAGGATTCTTGAACAAGCAATAGAAATCTAAGGTTTCGAAATTCTTGATGAAGAAAATTTAAAAGACTGGTTTCAAAGTGATGCATGCGAGCCTGGGTTCCAGTATTTGACAGATGAAGACATCGTTTTGTTGTTAAATCAAATAGTGATAATAGTAACTGATGCAGAAGATGTAGCAAATGAGGGAAATACAATTTCTCATTCTGCTGCTCTGTGGAAACTTTATTAGATTACATGGGAGGATTTGATTACAGTGACATTACTGCTGCTCGTAAAATATGTGTATCGATATATAGCGAAGACACATTACACATTTTTTTAAAAGGAAAATTACTAGTTTGATGTTAAACAGCATGCAAATGTCAGTAATTTTTATATTTTTTGTACTGATATTGATTTTTTCTTTAAAAAAGGGGAGTTTTCGGATTATCCGTGTTTTTCGATTGTCCGTGCGACCTGCACCGGTGATTAACCAGGATAATCGAGAGTGCACTGTATGTTATTTACATCAAAACTTACTTTTAAAAAGTCTCTATTTATGTTGATAATAGTAAAACAATAAAGTTTCACGGAACAGTATAGTCATAGTCTGAAAATAGGGTCAAATTGCAGTTGTAGATTATTATTAAGTTTGTTCATATTTACAGGAAAGCAGAAATATTTTAGTAATAAATGCTAGTAAAAAAAAAACTATTTATTTTGAGGAAAAAAAATGAAATCTCTTCAGTATTCATATAAGTTTGTCTAGAAGTAAAATAAAGTACTTGTCACGTCTGATATCTACCTAAACAAGACTTTTGATGTTTTATTGCAAAGACAAATATAAATGAAATGGATATAAATAACCTTTTAAATAAATAATATAGGGTCCCCCTAGAAAAATGGCTATAGTTTTCAGAAATCAAAATAAAAGTACTAAGAATAGAGATATGAGAAATGGGAGCCATTACATTATTTATGCATATTTTATATTCTCATACGTGTACTCAACATATTTTGAGCAAAGTTTAATGGAATATTGAAGAAAAAATACGAAAATTTGTTAAAATTAAACAAAAAGTGTCTACTTCAGCTAAATGTCGAAGTGAAATGGCCATCTAAGAAAAAAAATTTTAAATATTGAAAATAACACATTCCATACACGAATGAATGCATGTATGAATGGGTCCGAGCGCTTTAAACGGGTATGTCGTATGGCTGTGGCAGATGTCGAATTCTTAGCCATAGATGACGCCACTGGAAAACAAAAACAATCGCACCCCCTCTGCCTTAATGTCCGACGGCAACAACAATGTACAGATTTAATCAATCACTTTTGAAAAAAAATTTACTACATTATTAGTAAGAGTTTTAAAGTTCGTATATGTTTCATGGAGCCATTACAGGCACCTTACACATCTCCATCCAGTCATCGTTTTCAGTTGTGGTATTGTATTTTACTCCACAGCTAACACACTGATACTCACGAAAGTGGGTATATAGGATTGAATATTATGCAGGGTTCTATCGAGTTGGCTATTGTGTTCTATTAAATAATATATGTTAGGTATGCAGAATCAGGTATGCAAGTATGGTATGCAGGGTTCGTACTGTCATCAAAAAATAGAGAAAGAAATGGTTTCAATTTTGGAATAAAAAGCTATGAATTTCTTTTTACTAGCTTTCATCTAAAAATTACGAAACGAAACCAAACGAACCTAAGGATTTCGTTACTAGATTTATTTCCTTAAAGATATTAGGAGTTGTGGTGAAGATGACACCTATTTCTGAAAATGTTTTAAGGACCCTACGACACTTGATGAATTAGTACGCACTAATGAAAAATAGCCATCTTTCTCGATTTTATATAGCCATCTCTCTTAAAGTTGATGATAAGAGGTTCTGTTGCTGAATTACTATTAAAATGTTGATAAGTCTTAGTTTTTCAACTTCAAAGTGGATATATATGATAAAAACAGAATAGATAAATTAACATTTGATTTTAAGTATATTTTTGCAGCCATTTATTTTATTGTTATTCCTTATTTTAATTCCTTATTTTTATCCTTATTCTTTATTTTTGTTCCTTATTTTTATTCTTATTCTTTATTATATCTTTAATTGCTGGTAAAGAAAATACACAGTGGTTGAACTAGTGTAAAAGAAAAAGAAGAAGACACGGATTAAATTTTAAGCAATTTATGAGAAATACAGTATAAAATCTGAACTGGAGCATGAAAAGTATATATATATATGAAATTCTTGANTAAATTATCGAAGGTTACTATGTCCGCCTTTGGAGACGTCACATTTTGACGTCATTCAGACGTCAACACGAGACACAATGAGACATATTACTGTCGCCGTCTGACAAGAATATGACATGCTCATGTTTCAACGTAGTCCCACAGTGACTATTGAGACGTAATTATCACAATTTCTCCACATCGTGACTCTGTTGAGACGTGAATAAGTCTCATCTTTGACACATCGTGATCCAGCTGAAACGTGAATATGGCACACTTTCGTCCTTCGGTGATCCTGTTAAAACGTAAATATGACACAATCTCGTCACACTGTGACCATTTTGAGACGTAAATAGGTCACATCTACGTCTCATGGTGAGATAACGTCACGTATCGTCACATGTGAATTCAGTAATGAGTTTCCATGACTGTCGCAATAATTGTAACTTGTTAATATATATAGTTCAAAATGAAGATAAAACAAAGGAAAATTACAGACATAGGAAAAAGGAGTGGAGGGAAAGAAAAATAATAATAAAAAAAAATAACAAGCAACTGAGGGGAAAAAAAGGATGAAATTCTTTTAAAAAATCCGGAAAGTAAAACATTTAATCTTTTCATCAGCCCACACGATTATATCCGCAAAAAAGAGTGCTTTCTGATATTGTATCAATATACCCAAAGCAAAATATATTAATACAATAGTGTGAGGAGCACTCAAAAAATGTTTTGCAAAAATAACAACAAATAAAATAGTACACAATAAGTAAAAATAACACGTAAAAACAGAAAATAAAATAAAATAAAATGAAAAAACAGTATGAAACAAAATCTCTAAGGCCAGTAGCGAAATCAGATGTACTTACATGAACGGGAAATTTTTCAAGAATGATTTAAAAATATTTTCGCAACAAGATTGCCAGATTACAAAATATGAAAACAAAAGCGCAAATTGAGTGTAACTAGAGGAATTCAAAGTGCCGTTCTTACTGCATTGCTGAAGTGATTTGTTATGCTGCGCATTGATTTCTTGGTTACGGTGATTTGTCGGAAAAATTTCCCGTTCATGTCAGTACATCTGATTTCGCTATTCGCTATAGAGATTTTGTTTTATACTGTTTTTTCTCATTCTTTTATTTTATTTTCTGTTTTTACGCGTTATTTTTACTTATTGTGCTCTATTTTATTTTTTTAAATTTTTTTTTTTAAATCAGCTGTTTATTTTTTTTTTCATTATTATTCCCCCAATCTTATTTTTCATATGTCTATAATTTTCCTTTGTTTTATCTTCATTTTGAACTTATCTAATGAGTTCTGTTTACTTGCAGCTTATATATATATACATATATATATATATATACATATATATATACAAGATAGATAGATAGATAGATAGATAGATATTTACGAATTCTGCACCCGTTTCTGTGAATAAAAAGTAAGAAATTGAATACAAGGTATTTTTAAAGACATTCATTCAAAGTTATTCATTCATAGAAAGTATAGATATCCTCAAAATAAAGCTTTCATTATGTATTTTTGTGATTTTTCTTTTTTTTTTTACTTTCCCTTAAAGTTTTAAAGATTTTACCCTGTTTCTCTTTATATAGTTCGACATTCCCTTAAAAAAAAAGTATTTTTACGCCTCGAATGCAAAGTATAAGTGGTCATTAATTTTTAAGTGTGCCTTTGTAAATTTAAAAGTTTAACCAGGTAGCACTTTATGTAATTTAATATGTTTTTGCCATTTTTGTAGCATACAAAGAATAGGGCACCATTTTAAAGAATGGAGACTTTGGTTTTACTCTATATAACTTTATAATACTTTACTTTTAAATAACTTTACTTTGAATGATATGTGGTGCTTGCTTGTATTGCTCGTAACTCCTAGATCAGGGGTTTCCAATTTACATGAGGAAGGGGGTCTCAATTAAAAACACCAGGGGCGGCAACTTTGTAAAAATTTTATATAGGACTCTTTTATGTTTGAAGGAACATTAATTATTACTGTCAGATTTTTATCAAGTTGTACAAAGCAAAAGTATTGAATTACAAATTAAATTAAGAAGTAGATTTTTATCAGAAAATTTTTTTTTACTCCATTGGTATGTTAAATCTCCCAGAAACGAAGAAATTAGGGTTTTTTTAGCGAAAGAGAAGTATTTTAAACCCAAACAGATTTTTTACGAAAAATATCAGCAAAAAAATGACAACTAATATAATTTAGTTCGCGGACCAGATGTGGCCCGCGGGCCGCGAGCTGGTAATCACTGTCCTTGATCAATCAATAAGAACTTTATCAAAAGAAAATACATTCTCTGATTGTGAGATTACCCGATTCAATCATGGTAATTCAAGTAAGAAAAATGTGTCAGTTACCACCTTTCTTATAAAATCACAGATACTTATAGAAAATTAATTAATTCAACATTTTAACTAATTAGAAATATTTCAAAAATTTTTTGTTCAAAATATGTTTTTAACAATAAAACTCTGTGCCACATGAATCTGCAAGACTTCTTTACTGCAATTTTTTTGGATTTTCTTTCATTTATTAAGCTAGTCTTTTTTTCTATACATTTTCTTTAAAAAAAAAGACAATGCTTGAAGAAGAGAAAATAAAGAAGATGCTTCAAACATTTTTTTAATTGCACATTTATTGCTTTTCTATACACGTGAAATCAATGTTCTTGTAACAAAGCTGGATCATCATATATGAAGAATCATATACTCTCAGAAAAACCATGCTCAATTCGGATGAATAGAAATAGATACGTCCTTTCAATATCTGTGGAAAGAAATTGTTAGTTAATATTAATTGTTAGAAAAATGATTATTTTTAACGAAACATTCTCTTTTATCATTATTATTATTATTATATTTATTTTTTAAAGAGGAAAATTAAAAATTAACTATCTAGAACAGTCTTTCTTCAACCTCTTTGCTATTAATAGAAGCAAAGGGCCTATTTTATTCGATTTCAGGATCAACAGATTTTCAGGAAAGGTTTGTGTATCCTTCAAAAATTTACCTTCGTTTTTTCTCTCTGACCTCTTTGCCAAATCGATATCTTTGGTGTTTTCCTTTTCCATTTACCTTGGAGTACACTTTTACAAAAATAAGGTGTTTTTGATGTTGTTTCCAGGTTGACAGATGTAAAAAATATGCTTGAGATACAAAATTAGATTACATTTGGCATCCAAAAAAAAAACTCACCAATAAAACTTAACTTCAACCTCATTTACACCTCATGAAATCAACCTCACATGCAGTTCAGCAACACTTTTAGTTGAAACCTCCAATGTGCTTCTCTGCTTAAAGTGTAAAAAAAATTCCTCAAAAACAATCTAAGCCGGTTTTTTAAAGTCGATTTAAATCAACCTCAAAATAACCTTAAGCGAAAATAAAAAACCTTCATACACCTTGAGGCTTTGGAGGATGATTTTTAAGTTGGTTTTTGTAGTCAACAGCAAAAAAATCTCAAATCAATGTTAATCTTTCAAAGCAAACTGAAATAAACCTCAAAAACATCTTTCCTTTTTGTAAGGGTAATGCAAGGCCTGCCTCACCTTAAATATTTCAGGGTTTTCTCAGTACATGACCAATCTTCTCATTTTTAATTTCGTAAGTAACTAAATTTTGTTTGTTATTTTAAGTTGAAAATTGCATTTGTTCTTTATTTAATTTTTCTTCATCTGACCTAGAGCCCCTGATCTGACCCATCTTTTACTGACAACGCAACCTAATCATAAAAGAAAATATCAACTTCTTCAACTTTTGCGTTCCCTAAAAGTGTGTCTCTACTAAGTTTAGAAGTTATTTTCATATTATAATTTTCTTTGTATTTATATTTAAATCCATAATCTTAGCCTTAGCGATAAGGTTTTTATTCCCCTGCTTCATAAAGATGCACTGGCAGTCTAAGAAGACATAAGAAAATGGTCTTAACTACTGAAATTACTATATTATTCTTGTCCACTCCTATGAAAAAATTTATATGAATTCTATTATTTTTAGCTTTTTGGGTCCGTTCTCCCTATCGGACAATCAAACAAGTTTTGAAAATTTTATTTTACTTTCCTCAATAGTAATTCGGTATATTTTTATTATGTTCTTACCTCATATAAATATCAATTTGTTAACCCTTATGTATATGTTTTTGACTTAATTTTTTAAGGAATTCTAAAATAAATATATTATTAGGGTAGTGATTAAGGAATTCCCTTAGAACAGATTCTTTAAAAACAGAAAGTTAATTAGCAATTCTTACATTTAGCCCCACCTCTCATCGTTCTCCACATGATGATCCTCTTCTCTGGAAGGACGTGCAAATGCTAAAATAATAATAATAACAGATATTTAAACGGACAAAAAATTAATGCTTCAAAAGTATTGAAATGAGAGCATAATTTGCTAAAACTAAAATTTATTTTATCATGCCTATGTTAATTTACAAGCACATGAATTTCACTTAAATTTTAGATATTATTTAACGCAAATTGCGGTTCAAATCAGAAATTAATAACTTAGTTATAAGGACCCGCTGTGGCTTAGAACGTTTGCGATGACCCAGGCTCGAATCCCATTTGTGGCTGTTTGATAGTAATTCTGCGGCCATCACGCATGGACCACAATGTTGGCATAAAATATCCTCAGTAGTTAAGGGATCATGTGTTAGAAATTCCCTAGTCGTCGGGTTAACTGTGGGAGGTTATCGGGGTTTTCCTTTCCTTGTACCGCAAATGCGAGTTAGTACCATCGAAAATTCCTTCTCAAAGTCAAATTACTTGATACAGGAGTTCTCTTGTCTTCTGGATTGGGTTTAGTATTACAAGGCTACGGAATTAAGCATTGTTAGCCGTAAACTCAAACAACGACAGTTATAAAATGAACGAAATTTCAAAGTAACAGATTTTTAATATCTGTGTAACACAGGTTAGAGCGGATTAGTTCCATCAAAAAATCTTCCACGAAGCCAAGTTAGTCGTAATGCGTGATCTAGAAGCTTCAATGTCGTCTGGGATGGCTTCAATACGAACTTTAATCGAAATAGGTCGAATAGTTCTTAAGAAATTGAATTTTGAAAAAGTTATATTTTAATCGTCTGCACTATAATACCTAGATTACAGCTGTAACTGAAATCGTTAAAAAGTGAGAGAGTTGTTTCAGACCCTATCAAAAGCCCTGTATATATAAGAGCGAAATTGGTGTAAACAATATCTGATGTCCTCTAAAATAGACGTCATCAATTGAAATTTGTAAAGATGATGACATAAAATTCAATCATATCGAAAGTAAAAAGTTGAGAAATACATTAAAATTACATAATTTTTTTTTTAAAAAAAAAGCGATAGAACTCTGGAAGAAAACTTTAAAAACATACAGCTAGTTGTAAATAAAAAATAAAATTGGAAAAATTACAAACCGTCTGAAAATACAGAAAGGCACCTAAAGCCATATTTTAAGACCATACTTTCTAGGTAGCATTAGGCAGCTTTTCATGATTTTAAAGTCATAAGCCACTACGAAAAGCGAAGCTCTTCTAGCTGCAGCAGAAAGCAGTGAAAGCCTTCAGCAACGACCTGATATCGGCCAGGGAGACAAGGTGGTTAGGACACCATAATTTTGAGACTAACAGCATGATAGTTGGAATGTTGTCAATAATGTGCATAGACCGTTGATAATTCCCAGACAAACTGATACCAATAAATCTGAAGCTGCATGAGCTTCAAGCCGTCATCGGGGACAGACCCCAGTTTTTAACTATGACAATTCTGCGCCTCTGTTCATTTATTATTACTGAGCATAATTTACGGAAACAAATACAGTCGGACTTCCATTTAACGAACTTCCATTTTGTAAATTTCTCTATTTTGTGAATTTTTCCGAAGAACCAAGAACATTTTTAAAGCAGATAGCGATGTGAATTTTCTATTTAACGAAATTTTCTTTGATATTCACTATCTCTGTTTCCCAAAATATTTCAGAACATTTCAAACCTGTTAACGAATTTGATGGGGGAAATGACCTTGAATTGATTTTCAAAACCACTTTTAGAGAAAGCAGTAAAATCCCCTTCCCTTTTTGTTTGCATTTCAAACAAAAAAAACTAAGACAAAACTAACGAATTTTATCAGAAACTTTCAAACTTAAGAACTCAAACGGTAATGTATGTTTAAAATTACTTTGTAGTTATAATTTTATGCAGCAAATAAATGCAGCCATAATTTCATACATAAATTTACCTTTTTCCGTTGAAAATGTATGTAGTAAGATAGTGTAATACTGGATAATATTTCGCTCTAATCTTGTTTTCCATGCAGATTTCTATAATGGCTAAGATTTATAAAATAAATAGTAGATACTAGTTTACAAGATAAAGGCGTATCAATTGGTATTTTAACTGGGTCTAGTGTTTATGCATTTAAAACCTGTTTTGTGTTGTGGAGGTATTTCAAAAAGTGATTTTATATTTTACTAATTTTCCATATATCGAACTTATTATCGGTATTTAGCAGTTTCGTTAAATAGAGGTCCAACTGTACTTGATCTTGTTTAATGTGGATTAGAGAAGTTCAAATCTAAAATTATTTTTTCTTCTAAAATGACAGTTTTTATCTGAAAAATGACATTATTAGTTTATTTTTGCCAAAATGCACAACTTCATAAACGCTGTCTATAACACAAAGGTCGCTTAAATGTTGCGAGAAATTTCTAGGGGAGTAAGGACGCACCACAAAGTTTAAAACTGCATAGGAAAACATGCATGGAAATGTCGTCGCATGCAGCAAAAGGCACTTTCCTATTATTACCTGTTCAGAAGCACACAAAGAAATAGTTCAAAATAGAGAAGCGGCCCAAGCAGCATACGACGACTTTTCCCAGCCTGGGTTCCTATTCAATTTTAATCCTGGTGATGTACATTCTCCTCCATAGTAGTTGGTCGCAACAATTATGTGACCCTCTGATATATATAAACATTTCGTCTAAATTTACACAGTTAATTTACACATTAAAATTTCGACAATTAGACAAAAAATGTTTCTTTAAAAAAAACTGTAACTTGGGAGGAAAAAATGCTTGCAGATTCGAAATCAGAGATACAAAATTAACTAAGCTCTGTTGAAACAATCTCATGCAACAGTAAAAAAAGTATTATCTTCTTACTTGTTTTTGTTAAGCTTTTTTAAAAAAATTCGCATTCTGCATTTTTATTGCTTGATTATAAAGCTCTTATATTAAACGTTGCCATATCATAAACAACAGAAAATTACGTCACAACTCAAAAGCATCATTTAACGGCCCTCCAACAATAAAGTTCGCATACATTACACTTAGTGTCTTCATTAAGAAGAAATTGACGAACTTAATATTCGCTTCAATAGATTAAAACTCAATTTTAAACATTTTAGAATTTTCACATTATTTTTGCTAAAATGTGATGGGAAATTACTTCTGACTTCACTTCAAAATTATTTAAGTAAGCATTTTCGGTCTACTTTTCCTCTTAATTTAGATTCTTGCAAAAACAATGCTCAGTGTAAATGGCTGCTTTACTTTATAAGCTTTAAAGTTTTGAAAAACGGTTTTAGAATTAACGTAATTAGAGATAACTCTAAGAAAAGTAAAAAAATAAAAAATCCACAAGTTTAAGTGTGTTAAACTCAAAAAAAAGATATAAATTTGAACAATATATATTATCTTACGATATAAATATGGCTTACGAACGGCGTAATCGTTTTAAAAAAATTGTAAATCTCTTTTGAAAATCTCCAATTTGGAGAGCTTATGCACCAAGATGAAAATGCTTAAAATTTATTAAGTTTGAATAACTTTTAGAATAACAGGTGTTATGCTAAACACTACAAAAATTTAATAGTTCTCAATTTTTGAAATTTTAATTTGACCAGACTATGCAACGTTGGAGGTACGTTTGAAATAAGCAGAAATTTGTTTAATAGTCATGAAAAACGAATAAAAATTCACGAGATATAAAAACAAAATATTATTTGCTAAAAAGCATCATTTCATATGACGGCAGAGGGTTTCAAAAAATAAAAATAAAAAACTTAATACTTCTTTTCCCTTAATAGTAATTTTTAATACTAGTTAAGTTCGTCGTCCTTTCGCTGACTCTTTTCAAACCCCGAAGATTGCTATGCAATTTTATATAGTTTGTTTTACAAACCATGCTGACTTCGCTCTTTATTAAGTTAAACCCATTTGAAATGTGCTCTAGATTAAAATCTTAAATCAATTATTAAATATTTTAAACTATTTCTTCCTTTAAAAAAATAATAATTTTAGTCAATGATGAGTTATTGAAATAAGGCACATTTCAAATTGAAAAAAGTAAAGTGAATACAGAAGAAAAACAATAATTGGGCTTTTAAGAAACAATTACTAAAGATTCACATCTTTGTTAAAAACGCAATTATAGTTAAAAATAATGCAGAGCACTTTGTTGCTATGAAGTATTTGCATTTAACTTTTCAATTCTTCCCAACTTATAGTTCAGTTTATTTCAACTTTTCATTGTCGAGAGGAGAAAAAGATTTTGATTCAGAAGTTTCCTCATGCTTTAATGCTCATGACAGTTCACACGCTTGATATTTTAATTCTTTGCTTCTAACGCGAAAAAAATTACATCTTTCTTTGTCGCTAAATAAGAGAAATATATATTATATTGATTTCATTCTGAAAAGCTAGAACAGAATTATTTAATTTCAAAATTATAATAATTTTTTTAATGTTTTTTTTCAAAACTCTATCATAACTCAGCATTTTAAGATTATTTTTTTAAAAAACAATAAAACAATTCAACATAATAGTTCATTTTCTGAATTCGAACATAAATAAGAAATCTTTTTTTTTTCAAATTATTGCGTTTAAATTTGCATTCTTTATAATTTATAACACCTCAATTAAAGCAAAATAGACAAAACTATTTATATATAATATTTTTGCTGACAAAAAAAATTATTAAAAAAATTAGGTATGTTTGCGAATGACATTTCGATTGCCTTCATCTTAGGATAAATTAACATTTTGAGTTTTTACACTTTCAAAATCCATTTATGATTATAAAATCTATGTTTTTTTATAAATTCAAGTTTTCGTTTATATTGGAGTAACATAGTTAGTGTGCAGTAAGCTATTTTATTACGAATTGAAATTACACGAGAGAAGGAGCAATTATGATAAATATAAATTTTAAATCTTTCTAAAAATTAAGCTTTTTAATAAAGTAGTATAAAATTAAGCATTAAGATATTTTATTACTGTTTAAAATTACACAAGAGAATGAGCAATTATGTTAAATTTAAATTCGAAATATTTCTAAAAATTAAGTTATTTAATAAGGTAGCTTAAAATTAAGCATTAAGCTATTTTATTACTTATTAAAATTAAACAAGAGAATGAGAAATTATATTAAATTTAAATCCAAAATATTCTAAAAATTAATCTACTTACCCATTGAAATTAAAAGAAAAAGTGCAAGCACTGCGTGCGTTACATAAGATAAAATGTCAGATATCATTTAGAATAAATTGGTTATAAGCTCTTTTCAAAATTTGAAAAAGTATTCGAGCTTCTAATTAGAATTTCAGACGGTGATCTCTTTTATATGTCTACATTTACATCAAAATGAAATACCTTTACATATGTACAATTCTCTCTATAAATCATTATACCATGTATTTTATTTTCATGACGTTTATAAGACTGATTACAAAACTATTTTGTTTACTTTTCTGGAATTTTGACTTCATCAAAGTTGAAATATTGACTTATCACACCAATAAATCTCTAAGTCATGTGCTATAAATGTAAATTGGAATAGTACATGCGTGTTCATTAAATTTGTGAAAGATACATTTTTACTTTGTAAAATACATCGAAAATTTATCCCCGGAAGGAAATGACATTTTTAAAGTCTTATAAACGTATTATAGTCACATAATCACATAAATTTATATCACGTTGAATTTTAATCTTGCAATGTGATATATGTACGAAATGTTTCGTTACTTAAGTATTTTATTATTATTTCATATTTAATGATTATATTCAATTTGTTCAAAACGTATACAGACAGAAATAAAAAAATAAAAAAAGTAAGAAACTGAATGATATTTGAACAAATTAGGGGATAAAAGGGTAGTTTTTTAGCAATTTCCATTTATGACTACCCAACATATTTTCTAATTCTTACTAATCAATATTAACTATTATCTGAGACTCGTCAAAAATAATTTTACATTTTCTTAAGTTTTTTTTCTTTATATAAAATGTTTATTTATAATATAAAATTTTCTTTGGAGAATATCCACGTAACTAAAAAAAATCATAATACTCTAAATTAACACATCGGCTGATAAGTTTCCGGTCTGACATACAGATGGGGCCCTAAATGCAGAATTAGTATTTTGTTTAGCAAGTCCTAACCTTCAAATAAAAGGTGTCAAAATTTTATAACGATCTGTAGATTGATTTTGAATTTACAGTGATTTATATCGAACACCAATTTATATTATTGAAGCAATGGATAAAAAAGAATTTCGTGTTCTTATTAAACATTGTTATTTAATGGGAAAAAGCACGGTAGAAACTAAAGCTTGGCTCGATAAGTGTTATCCGGGTTCTTCAGCAGGAAAAATCGACCATTATTGACTGGTCTGCTGATTTTAAATGTGGTAGTACAAATGTTGAAGATGCGCCATGCTCTGGACGCCCTAAAGATGATGTTAATCCGGAAAACATAATAAAAGTCCACAAAATTGTTATGGAAAACCGCAAAGTGAAGTTGCATGACATAGCTGATACTCTAAATATATCAAAAGAGCGTGTAGGCTTTATTTTGCACGAACATTTGCTTATGAGAAAGCTGTTTTCGANGTGGTCGTACAAATGTTGAAGATGCGCCACGCTCTGGACGCCTTAAAGATGATGTTAATCCTGGAAACATAATAAAAGTCCACAAAATTGTTATGGAAAACCGCAAAGTGAAGTTGCATGACTTAGCTGATACTCTAAATATATCAAAAGAGCGTGTAGGCTTTATTTTGCACGAACATTTGCTTACGAGAAAGCTGTTTTCGAAGTGGGTGCCGCGTATGCTTAACAGTTGACCAAAAACAACAACGAATTGATGATTCCGAGAGCTGTTTGACGTTGTGTCAGACACCCCCTATTCTCCCGCACCCACCCTATTCACCAGATTTGGCTCCTAGTGACTTCTACTTGTTTGCAGACTTGAGAAAAATGTTCACGGATAAGAGATTCAGCACGAATGAGGAAGTGATTGTCGAAATAAAGGCCTATTTTGAGGCCAAAGATAAAAATCACTGTAACTTTAAAACCAATCTACAGATCATTATAAAATTTTGACACCTTTTATTTGAAGGTTAGGACTTGCTAAACAAAATACTAATTCTGCATTTAGAGCGCCATCTCTATGTCAGACTGGAAACTTATCAGCCGATGTGTTATAAAATATATCCTAATTAAAGTTATATATAAACTCACCGTAATCATTTATTATCTTTTATAAATCAATCAATTTAAGATAATATATTTTTCTTTTAATCTAAATTACTTATCAGCATTAGTTGCTTGTCACAAAACTTTCCTTCGTGAACTACACATAAATATCGACTATTAAGGAAAAAATCAAAGATGATTGAGAAACTATCATGGAGTTTGGTAAGCTGAGTCAAGTTTGTCTATTAAAAAAAATAAACAATGGGCATAGTTTAATTTAAAGTAATTAAAAAATTTAAATACATTTAACTGCACTATTACTTAAAAATATCGAATGTATATTTATATTAAAAATATTTTTAAAATTTGTTTAAAACTTTTTAGGAAATACTCCCCTAGAAATTGGTTTTCTGATCTAGATCTATACTGGCTCTACATTATTAGAAAATTTTGAAATCTGTTGAACAATAATACTATACAAGTTTACGGACACTTTAATATAGTGCTATGAAAAAAACATAGCACCGTACTTCTTTCTTGATACTATAGTGCATCGTGAACAGATACGTGGTTTCATTTGACTCTTTATTGAAGTTGCAGCAAATTTGAAATGCATTATGGTTTGTGATACACAATTATTCAAGTTCAACAATGAACCAATTTTTTGAGAGTTCAAGACACAAAGAAACTCTAGCGATATTTCCATCTATTCTTTTTAGGCTTAGTCTATAACACCCTTTTATTTAGTTTCCTATGCTGAGTTGCACTTTATAGACGCTACTGGTTCTCGTGTCATTTGACTCTAGATCAAACTTTATAAAAACGCAGAATGACCTTTGAGAGCAATTTGTTGAGTCCGCGAAAAAAAGAAGAAAAAACGGAATGTCTTGAACGACTTTCGATCTAATGATCTGATTTTCACACACGAGGAATCAAACTTAATGGTTTAGTGGAGAGACCTGTGATGGTAATTAATTAAAACAGATAATATCTTAAGTACATGAATATTTAAATAGTTCAGGTAAGTTTAAGTATAAGTTTATATAAATTTAAGCATATAGTATAGTAGGCATATAAGTATTAAGTATTTAAGTAGCGAAATCAAGGGAAAAGCATATTTTCTCTGAATAAGTATACTTTTTTTTGGCGGATTTGGACTGCTTTCTTTTTGATTTGAACGGATTTAGGAGGGGGGGGAAAGCCACAATCTCGGAAATATGGTCCCAATTATATGGTTATTAGGAGAGCGGTCGAAATCTTGGATACCATGAAGTTAATTTTACTTTTTGCGTATTTCCCAATGTCTCGAGAATTTTTTTAAGCAAATCGAAAATGGAAATAGCACAATTATAAAATCTACTTTTCGGAAAATAATTACATGCAAAATATAACTTTTGGTAAGTACTGAATAATAGTTGGAAAAACTTTTTTAACTGTGTGGTATACAAGTTCACTCATCATTTTAACGAATGTAATTTTATTCGTTATAAAATTTGAATAGAATTTCATGGAATAAAATTCGTAGATTTAATGAAATAAAAATCGTTATTAGAATGTAATTTTATGAAATAAAATTCGAATTTTAGATATACGACGGTTTTTTAAAAATTCTTGAGATTTGGTGAATAGCACAAAAAGTAAGATTTACATTAAAAGCTTTAAACTCTGGACAGCTATGCTGATCAAACTACTGCGACCATATTTCTCAAACTGTGGCTCCCCGGGTATTTTGAGGTAAAGAAATCGAAATCCATAAGAACAGGTATGTTTATTTAAAGAAAGTTCTTCTTTGTGTCTGATTTTGTGACTTAAAACAGCGCTTGCACTGATTAATTAGCACATTTGAGGTTACCTCTGTGAGCCAGAACCATTACATTTGAGTCATAGCTGGTTTAATCCGATTATGATCAAAAATTGCTCAGTTGTTCCTTTATATATATATATATATATATATTTAAAATTTAAGTTTTAGTTTTACTTTACAGTAGAGAGAGCANATTGCGCATACATATAAATTGACCTACTTATGTGGTTAATTCCCAGTTGTGACACAGTTTGGAAGGTGAAACAAATAGTTCTTGCCACGCAGGCTTTTTTTAACACTATTTTCGTTCGCTTTTACGTTTGTGTCAGATTATTTTATCGCAACATTTTTATTGCTACAATTAGTTTTTTATTTTATTTTATGACTGTCATTGAACAGTCGACCCAATTTTAGGGTTTACGACTACTAATATTCACCTCCGTAGCCTTGTAAATTTGAACCCTATTCAGAAGACAAGGAACTAATGGATCAAGTATTGGGAGAAATTCGTCTTCGTCGAGGACTTTTTAATTGAACTAACCAGAATTTGAGTAACACTGGGAGAAAAACCATGAAAACCTCCCACGGTTAGCCTGACGGTAAGGATATCCATTATCCGTCTACCACTGAGGATAGTTTTACGTCAGCACTGTGGTCGATGCAGGCCGTATCCACTGCCATCGGTAAGATACGAACCCGGTTCACATCACTGGAAGGCGAACGCTCTATCTCTTGAGACACCACAGCTCTTGTTATAATTAGTATGTGTAACGGATGCTAATGTCTCTGTTTTAATCCTTTGACCTTGAAGCAATATCATCGGTCAAAATTATCAAGAAAAAAAAGTAAAAAAATTATCAAGTAAAGTTATCAAAAATCATCGGTGTGGCCTATGGTCACATATGCGTCCCGTTACGGGCCATATGGGCGAAAATGCATGCCATTTGAAAACTTAGCCATTGGTAAATAAATAACATATATTAAAAATACAAATTGTTTTACTCGATTTTAGAGTAGATAAAATTGTAATAGTCTTTGAATTGTGTGCTATTTTATATCTTAATGCACTGCGACAAAATCAATATTGTTCGAAAAAGTATTCTGTTATCGGCGATTGCTACAATTTAAAACAATTCAGTCGAAATCAGTCGATTTGTTAACGATATAACTGCTTTTCATCGCAAAGTCAATTTTTTTTTACCGAAGTTCTAAAAATTTATAATTATGGTTATTGAGCTGAAGAATTTTAATCACTTTCAAATCTGGGAACTTAAAAAAAAAATTACGTATTTAGAGACTAATTTTATAGGGGTGTATTGGATGAGAAAGAAGGAAATAATTGTGGAAATTTTAAATTATCGCTTTTATTTTCTTTTAATCCATTTCCATTTCATAATCCATTTAATCCATTTCATAACAAAAGCTCATAATCAATCATCCTTGTTTGATTTGACTTAGAATTGGTAGTGAAAGCAATCCAAAACTGACTCCTGTAAAAAGAATATTTTTATTACTCTATATTATTCAAATTTGATGTGTTTTTATCTCAAACTTCAGATATCTTTGAAATTGCTTCCCTAGCTTTAAAATAACTCCCGTGCTATAAAATTGAAATCTCAAGAATGCTAATAAAATTGATGTTGAAAATTTTAATGAATTAAAATCTTTTACATGTTTTTATACTAAAGTTAGCACATTTAGATTTTCTTACAAACAGGTGTCCCAAAAAGGACTGATGAATTTTGAAAATTAATAAAAAGAAAGAACGGAACTTGATAAAATCGAATGATTTGCGACGTAATACTAGGGAAACTAAGAAATTTCAGTCCATCAAATTTCACATTTAGTTAAACTTCTAGTCAATAAATGACGCCGTAGAACAGTGTTTGCCAAAGTGTGGTACTCGTACCCCCAGGGGTACGGGAACAGTTTAGCGGGAGTACGCTTTCTTATACGAAATAACTTACAACAAAAGAAAATTTCACAAAATTTTATTAAAAAACGAAGCTAGCCATAAAATTTTACGATTACGTGTTTTTTCTATTGGCTATTTTTTGCCGAACTGACAGTTAATAATTATCGGTGTCAACAGTCAGTTTTAATTTTTAACTTTTGTGCAATTTTTTATAGTAAAAAACACATTCATTTTTCTATTAGTGGTACACAGCGTTACGAAAAATTTGGAAAGGGTACACAAAAGTAATAAGTTAGGGAAACACTGCCCATAGAATAGCAATAACTACAAAGGGTATGAATATGGTGTACTAAATTTTTATCTCATTTTTCAGGTTATTTTTAAATGATTATTTTATCTCTGTAAACAAACTTCTATTGCTTAGATATGTAATTATTCCTATTCTGATGCACCACCTATTGGCAGAAAATTAAAATAAATATGCAGATTGATGGTATGAAATTTCTAGTTTACCAAGCATTCTGCCGCAAACCATACATTTTTATCACTTTTTTATTGATTTTTAAAATTCATCACTCATCTATGAAATACCTGGTATTTATGTTACCAAAAAAGTGTAAAAATCTGAGAATCCTACAAAATGCATAAGAAATGTTTATAGAAAGCCCAATGATTTCATTCTTTAAAAGTTGGATACTCGAAATTCTCAAAATTTTTTTCGTTTCGGTAGATACTGTTTTCCTGGGAATGACTCTTAATGATACTTAACGATATAGTTTTCCAAGTAAATATTTCGTTAAATGTAGGAAACTGCTATTTTCACTTGTTTCAGGAAACGAACCAATACAATAAGTTTGATAGTTCAAAGTTGATAAGTTCAAAGGCAATAAGTCTGATAGTACTACATATTAGTTAATTCAATTGATTAGAAAATATAAAATTAAATAATAGAACGCATGAATAATTAGTGCTCAGTTCGCAGGGAAGAATTTATGAAATAAACTAAAGAAATCTAACTTCCAAGTGTGCACACTGATCCCTGTACAATCCGGTCATCAGAAGAAAACATTTTTGGAATCAGCTAAAAAAATACTGGAGAACACCCTGAGAACTTATTTCAGCATCTATTTGAAGAGTTCACACTTCGTGTGTTTTTTTGACGAAATAATAGTCAAAAATTAAAATCTAGGGCATAAACTTTGTTGAATCGTCAAAAATGAGAGTTTTATTTTTAAGAATACGGGAAAAGTAAGAAATATCCGTAATTTTTTTCGCATACAAATTAAACTTTCAGTTCCTTTTCAAAAACACTTTCCATTCACTAAAACACTTCACATTATACATTGCATTCTTTTAAACATTAAGAGGACTAATTTTTCGTAAATTTTTAACAATGCTAACAAAATTTAAAAATATTCAATCCATGGATATTATTTCAACATTTATCTGCCTACCTAGGAGATTTTAAAAAAGGGAATTGTTTACATATAATTAACTGATATAAGCTAACAGAAAGAATTTAAATCAATTGATAATATGATATAACAGGACTAATTCATATTTCATATTTTCACAATGCTTTCAAATTTTATTTTTAATATTTTTGATGAATTAAATGAATATATTCTAGAGTTTGTAGCGGTGCTTGACATATTTTATCGTAATATAAAGCATTGTTCTTACTTTTGTTGCCCTGGCTTCCACCGCTTCCTGCACAAACTACGCAGGGCAATGCTGTAAAAGAAAATGGCATTATAGCAATACTTAAAAAAGAAATATATATTGCTTATCCCCTAGAAATAAACAAAATAGAGTAATAATTATTTATTAAGATTGTTTTGTAAAATTTTAAAATAGAACGCAGAGAGGTGCAACTTAAAAAATGTGTCATTTAATGAAAACTGTTAATTAATAGAAATAAACGTTCTTCCAAAGTAATTACAGTTTCTAAGACTGATCAATTTAGATAACAAATAAGTTTTAAAGATTTCTTAGTACGTATTCTACAATGTGTGCTAAAAAATATATCATTTTTGAAATCATCCGTTTTTTGCAATCTTTATCCAAGTACATAATTTTAAAATTTATTTTTGATAATTTTTCATTATATACTACCTTTCTAAATCATGTTTTCTAGAAGCATTTGAAAGTTGAAAAAAAAAGTAAAAGTATGCAAACTTTATAAATATAATAGATATTTTTTACAATCATTACGTTTTTATTAACTCCTTTTTTAAGTTTGCTACAGAAATTTATGCCTCATTCTGACTAGCTAGAGCTCCTAAATCTCTTCTGGTGCTCCGCACCTGAAGACAAAGAAAATTTTAAGCGTTTCCTGACCGTTGCATCCAAATTTCATCGCCTAATAAAATCCAAATTTTTCAATTCAATCCAAATTTTTGGCTCGCTCTAGCTCACCGGAAATCTCAAATTTAAACTAATAAAATTGCAAATAAGTAATGTTTCTAAAATGGAGAACAGAAAATCTCAAACTCCTTCTGATACCTCGATGGCTCAGGGGATAGAGCGTTCGCCTTCCAATGAGGAGAACCGAGTTCGAATACCAGCAGTGACTGGTCGATACGAATTTCGCATCCGGCTTACACCGACCGCAGTGCTGACGTGAAATATCCACAGTGGTAGACAGATCATGGGTTAGAATCCCTTCTCTATTGGACAACCCGTGGGGGGTCTTCGTAGTTTTCCTGTCCATGAAGTGCAAATACGGGATAGATCCATCAAAAAGTTCTCCACGAAGGTAAATTTCTTCCAATACTCGACCCAAGAGTTCTCTCGTCTTCTGGATAGGGTTCAAAATTGCGAGTTGAGCACTAGTAGCCGTGAACCCAAAAAATTAGATCGGCTGTTCAACGGCGGTTATAAAAACATATAAAATATAAAACTCCTTCTGGTATAAGCAAGCTATCATATACGAAGTAAAACAGCAGAAAATTATGAAATAAGAAATTCAAAAACACTGACTAAAACGGAAAGTCTTACTGTTGACTAAAAATTTCAGACTTAAGGCGCTAAACGAAAAACGCATAGCTTTGCAATAATATTCTGATCAAACCAAAACTTCCTAGATATTTTTTTTTCCAATTTTTTTTTCAATTTTCAATACACAAAAGAACTTTAAACGTAATGCTCCCAAAGTCTGAACACGATATTTTTCATTTTGTATAATTAATGCTATTAAATCTGTTTACTTCTAAAATTAAAGTTCAAATCTGTGTTATAATCTGTTCTCAAAGTGTGTATAATCTGGTCTCAAAGGAGTTTCAATGTGTTTTCTTTTTATTGAATGATAACACCAAAAGAGATATTGGTTTAAATATTTTTTTTCAAACGTCACCAAAATCAAATGACAAAATTTTAGTCGCTTTATTGGAATGAACGGTTTTGTGCGACGTTCTAATGAACATTCAAATAACATTGTTTCTTTGGAATAGCAAACGAGACTTTACACATCGGCCTTTATAATGAAAGGATTGCTGCAATGGCAGACAATATTGTAGACCGTATTTACAAATAGTGAACGTTAATTTTTTTTTCATTATGTAAGCATCAGTATTATTAGTATGAAATATGTTTACATCTAAATTTAAAGTACGTGTATAATCTGTGATATATTTTATATTAAAATTTCTTTGAAAGTATGTTTCTTCGAATTGTAAGCATCATTAAAACAATTGATGTAAAATAAATTATAGCCACAAAAGTCTTTTTATATAAATTATTATTTGAATAAAAAATTACATTTTTTCGTAAGATAAATAAATAAAAAATAAGCAAGTGATTATTTGCAATTTTAGACTCATTCCTTATTTTCAGTTTCAAACTTTTCTTTTGAATAAATTAAAATTCTCAGAAATCTCTAAAAGTAATACAATAATAATAATAATATGTAAATTGTGGAAAATATGAGAAAAACTGACTTTCCCCGAAATTTTTCCCTGTCTTAACATTCAGCTATTAAAGCTTCAAAAACACATTAGAACATGTTATGTTCGATAGTTCATAAATAGACAATTATTTTCACAAAATTAACTTACCAGCACAAGCGAGAGCACAAAGAACCAACATAACGTATACTAAGTGAGAAATAATGCTGGACATCTTTTCGATTGACTTTGTTAAGCTGGATTCAACTGAATCTATAGATTGAATCTTAGAGAGCTTTTAATCAAACTTTCAAGCATTCAATTATATATACCTAAGAATATACACAATGGGGCACATTAAAAAGCTCGTGTACTTTTAATGATCGTTAAGACGAAGGATTACAAAAGATTTTCCATTGTTTCTCAATAACGGCGGCTTCATAGACATAATTATCATGAAAAGTTACCTAAGAAATATGCATTAAATACATTCAAGACTGTTTAATGGTTTTGTTTATCACATTTACATGGGAATATAATCGTAAAAATTACGTGGTGTAGCGTCACAAAAATAATGAATGATTTTTAATTAATGTTCACACAAATTTTATATATAAGTATATCGTGATTGTTTCCCGCAGTAATTAATATCACCATCATTATATCTACTAATTAACAATACACGTTCATCATCAAGTTAAAAGGTTTTATAAAAAGTTTTGTTTATGGAATTTTGAGGAAAATATCACAATATAATATTTTTAATATCTTTGATGATTTTTTAAAATTAATTTTCATGAATTTTAAGCTTATTTACTATAAATGGATTGAGTCATGTTTCAATAATAATTCTAAATCTGTTCAACTGTATAGATCTGAAACCAGGTACTGCGATAAATAACATGAAAAACATGAAAAACATGAATAACATGTAATAACATGAAAAAACTTCAAGTTATTAACAACAATTTAAGAAGAAACTTAAGTGGTTCTATAAAATTTGTAACACAGAAATCCTTAGAAAAGCAAAGCAGAAACCGATTGAAAAGGAAATTAAAATAAGTAAACGTATTCGTCATGATCTACGTAAACTTGAGCAAATTAAAGTAATAGTAAAATTTTAAAATATAAATAATATATAGTTTTTGATTGGAGCCCTCAGGGCAATTGAAGACCTAAAAATGCTTGGGACAGGGGGACTCTAAGTGAATTAAAATCACTAGGAAAGATATGGAGAGAGGCAAAATATCAAGCCACCAATAGAGTGATATGATAGAACCCCTGTGCTCCAGTTCGGGATGGAGAGGAATATGTATATGAAAATATTTACCCCGACCTCAATTCAGGGCATACGGGGAGGAATATGTATATATGTACAATGATTTAATAAACTAATAAGAACATTTTTTGTTATTGTTTTAGGCATTTGTGAGAGTTGCAGTACTTCTATAACTCGGTAAAAAAGTTTAATTAAGGAATAAATAACACTTAGGTGAACATCGTTGTAAAAAAAATAACAGGACAATTATTTTTTTCAAAATAAAAACATTTATTTACAATAAACTTATACACATTTGTGCTATAAACTAATTCTTCATAGATTTAAGTAAAAGATAAATAATAATATAATTGATGAAAAATTATTATTATTTCCTTAACAACTAGGAAATAATATTTACATTCATGTACAGCACATTTTCGAAAGTTACCGCTTAGAATGTTACAGAAAACAAAGAAAATTAGTGTTACAATCTCATCTTCATTTTTAAAATCGTCCATATGATTACAGAGCTAATTTTTCCGCATTCTTTTGTTACCGTTCTTTGTCTTATATAAGTCTTTAGCAAATCAACCATTTTCCCATTCATTGTAAAACCCATGATGATGATGTTACAAAAATAAGTACACCTTGATTGGCTTTGAAACAGTTTTACAGAAAAAAAGTTATCCAAACTGAAAGATTTAACACCAAACAATTATTTATAATCTTCATTTAGAATAAAAGTAGTATATTTCTCATGCTTAGTATTTAAAAAACTTACAATTGGGTTCCCAGAAAATTTCGATCAACTTAAATCACAATTTCGGAACCTGGAACCAAAACACGATTCAGATTTGCTACAACCTGAATAAGGTGTTAAATTGACACATATTTATGTTAAACCATATCGTGGTGGCATCAAGTTAAAGTAGTAAGGGGCACAAAATATAAGTGTTATAGCAAAATGCGGAAGTAGAAATAAGCGTCTTCTTTAAGGGCACCCATTCCTACCAAAGGCTGATGAGGGCATCCCGCTACACCAAAATAAATTTTAATCCCCTATTTCAGAAAAAGGATTTTGTTCCACTTAGTTCCAAATAAAAGTTTCTGGAACTATAAGTGATATTATAGTACAAATCTAATTTCAAATTAGAAGAAGCTCGTAAATAAACCACTGATAATAGGGAAAATTCGAAAATTCCGAAAAAGATAAATACTCAGGAATTATAAGAGTGAACTCGTCTTTGCTGTCTTTGTCGTCTTGTTAATATACTAACTTCCTTCGAAGATAAACTAATTTTGGGTCAAAAGCTTGAGGCTCTTGTAGCTTCGATTGGAGAGTTTTTAAAAAAAATAACTTTGTTTTGAGATCTTCAGAATATGGAGATTTTACTTTTGTAGATGGAATATGTGGTGCTTTTTATTCAATGTTCGGAAGGTAAGGCATTTTTTGCTGAAGGGCTCGAAAATGAGGGAATTTCGGTAATAAAATTTTAAATAAAAGCCAATTTCTTCATGAGATTTTTACAATGCAGGAGAAAAGCATTTCTTTGTCTATAAAAATTCAAGTAATTGAATCAATCTTCTTGATGATAAGTTCTGAACTGAATAATTTTGCCCAGATTCCAGCTGCCAATAGAGAAGCGAAAGTATCAACTCCCCCATGTCCTTTGCCACCTCCTCCCCCTCCTTTACATAATCGCCTACCTCCTCTTCCTCTTACCAAAGACCTTTTAACTGTACTTTTTAATCATAGGATTTATTTTATTATCGACCACCTAATAGTATTTTATTTTATTCAATATTTAATGATTATATTCGAATTATTCTCTTAACGTATACAGACAGAAAAGAAAGAGTAAAAATAAAGAAAAAAGCTAAATGAGATTTGGTCATATTAAGCAAAACAATGGCAATTTGCGAGCAATTTCTGCTTGTGACTACCAAAGATACTTCTAATTCTTACTAATCAAAACTAATCAGTATAATCAACATACAACATTCGCAAATTCCAAAAATAAACTTTAGTTTTCTTCAATTTTTCCACACAAAGTGCTTATTTTGACTGGGTATTTGCACTTCAAGAAGAAGAAGATTATGAATATCCACTTTAGTGACTTATGACGTCAGTGCCAGCTTATCGTTTATAATCAAAATAGCGTGTTAAAGTTGAGCTAAGTTTATCCAAATGAGTTAGAAAGTTATTCAACGTGATAGCGCGTGACTTCAACGTTAAATAAAGCGCTGCATCAAGAATCAATTTGTTGAAATGTAATTCTTTTTCTTCTACTTTAATTCATTATTTGTGCATTTTATTGTAACCGTAATATATTTTTGTTTTGTGTACCTGGCAACTTCGATGCATACTTAGTTCGCTTATGTTCTACATGACTTCATGCCTTTCTTTGTGTTAAGTAAGCGTTTGTGTTAAGAATAGTTAAAGAATTGAAGTCTTTCTGAAAAAATATAGAATGTGTCACTTAAGAGAATTGTTGCTTGACGGGCCAGGCTTACTCGAAATAGAATGAAATGAACAGTTGCAAACATAAACTAATGTCCCCGTTCAACAACCAATCAGTATCGTGATACTAACACTACGTCACTTTCAGATATCCCATTGTAAAGTCTGTTCTAGAGAATATCCACGTAACTAAAAAAAATCAAAATGCTTTAACTAGCTTATAACCTTATTTTAATTCAAGTTATGTGCAAACTTACAAGCCATATTTAATTGTTATCTTTATATATCATTCAGCATTGTTGCTTATCACGGAATTTTCTTCATTAAAAATATTGGAAAGAGGAAATACCGCTTTATATTAACTAGCTTATAACTTTATTTTAATTCAATTTTTATTTAAAATTACTAAAATATTAATTATTAACCTTATAAATCAAACAATTTACACAAAATACTTTTCAATTAATCTAAATTACTTATCCGCATTGTTGCTTATCGGGAAACTTTACTTCGTAAAAATATTGAAAAGAGTAAATGACATGTATTAAATTCGAGTTTATGTTCAAGTTTAGATCAAACACGAATTACTAATTTGTTTAAATAATTTATCATTGCTTAATTAAATAATAATTTTACAAAGGCATTTGATAACAAGGTATAAATGTGAAATGTATAATTGCAGGAAACTGATGAGGAAATATATTCATGATACTGCGAAAACTTCCGAAAAAATGCAAGCAAAATGCAAAAAAAAAAGGTAAGACTAAATGAGTCTTGGAATGGTTGCCTGATTTCAGACTTTTTATAATCTTTATAAATTTCGATACAAATGACTTTACTGCATTATCATGGTATGAATATGTTTACATCACATTATTTTTCTGTACGTAACTCTTTTATGACTCATGACTCTTTTATGTAAGAAGCAAATTTTAAAACAAAATCATTTGAATAATCATCGCAGAAGAAAATAAAAATTAAAATAATTTTTTTGAATAAACATTAGTGTTTTTAAACTATAATTTTAGATTAAATAACATGTGCATGTTTTATTTAAAAAATAATTAAGATTTGGTTGAATTGCAAAAATGTATATGTTTTTAATTATCATACTTGCACCAGAAGCACAAGAATATTTACTTTTGAAAACTGAAAAACATTCAATATTATAGGTTTATTCTCGTTAAAATTTAATTTCTTTTTTTCATAAGCAATTGGTAAAATTCAGCAAATTGTTGATAATCAGCGTAAACATATTTCAAACTATTTTCCCATAAGGTATGTGTTGAAAAATTTAATGTCTTAAAAATAGTTAGAGAATTATTAACTGTTAAACTTGTAAAAAAAAACACCCTGGCCGTTTTACAAGCTCCGGAAATGCATGTACAGAATTCATCGTACTGAAAATACATTTTTCATTTATAAACTTAACGCGAACTTTATTTTTTATATTTATTTATTTATGCTTTTTTTGGGGAATACGATTTGTTTAAAAGTTATAGTTTTAGTGTTAGCGTTAAAATTAATTTTTTATTTTATTCTTTTTGTTTTTACTTATTTATTCATTTATTTGCATTACATGCACTTTTTCTGCCTCACAAAATCTGCAAGACTCTGGAATCAAAAAGTTGCGTAGAAAATTTACAAGAAGTATGAACTTAAGATTTGTTTCATATCTCGGTAATTATCAACTGTTGAACTTGCAAAAAAAAAAAAAGCAAAAAAAAAGCAAGTTACAGAGTTGAGATCAAACATGCTGAAAAGTCCTTTTCATTTATGAACGCAAAGGAATTCCTTTTTTTCGAAATTCCAATTTGATGGAAAGTTATTACAATTTCAGGAGTTTTTGTGAATCTCTCTCTCTCTCTCTCTCTCTCTCTCTCTCTCTCTCTCTCTCTCTCTCTCTCTCTCTCTCTCTCTCTCTCTCTCTCTCTCTCTCTCTCTCTCTCTCTCTCTCTCTCTCTCTCTCNTATATATATATATATATATATATGTATATGTATGAAGCATTATAAAACAACATTTTACATGTTACTATAGTACATCTTTTATTTCGCAACTTATTGAGATCATAGCAAATTTGCACCCTATTATGGTTTGAGTATTAGTAGTTACCAATTTTCTAGTACAACGTTTCATGACGCAGAAACACCCTAACAAAATTTCCACAGATTATTTATTTTTATTTTTCATTTATTTATTTCATTTTTTTTATTTATTTACTCTTTGTTTCAGGCTTAGTTACGAATGCATTTTGACTTCGTTACCTTGGTTAATTTACACATTATGCAAGCTACTGGTTCTTTTATAGTTCAACATGAAATAGATTTTATTAAACACTTAACGTCACTGGATATCACTATGAAAAGTGCGCAAAAAAAAGAACAAAACATCATGAATAACTTTTGATCTGATGTTCGAAATTTCTCGTACTAGGGCCGAAACTTACTAGTTCACAAGAGCGACCTGAAATATACTAATTAATTAGTGCAAACGTTATTTTAAATTTTAAAATCAAACACAAAGACATATTTTCTCTGTATAAAGATGCCTTTTTTCGACGCATTTGGATTTCTTATAATCAAAATATTGTCGGTAGGAGCAATCTGAAAAATATGGCCTCAATAGTATTGTCAGGGGAGCTATCCAAAGTTTAGACAAGATCCCTTAATGTTAATTTAACCTTTTGCATAATACGGTACATATAGAGAGTTTATTTTAAACGAGTTGAAATTTTTTTTGGAAAAGTTGGAAAGTGTAACAAATAGCTCTTGCCTCATAGATATCTGCATTATTCAATTTTAGTACCGTTTCACCTTTTGTGTCAGATTATTTTATTGCACTTAGCAGCTGGCAGTCATAGAGTTAAGGATAATAAGCAAACATAACTGCTTTTTATGTCTGCAAATTGATGCTAAGATAATTTTGCTTTTTACCGTAGTTCTAAAAAAGAATAATTATAGTAATAAAACTGAAAAAATTCAATCATTTTCATATATGGGAAATAAATAGACAATAATACGTGTGTCAAAAATAAGAAAGAAGGAATGACAGTTGAAATTTTCACTTCCAGCTTTTATTTTCTTTCAATGAAAACCAAATACCTTTCATAACAAAAACTCATAATCAATCATCATTGTTTGAGTTGGCTTAGAATTGGAATGGAAATCAACCCAAAATCAGCATCTGTAAAAAGAATATTTTTATTACTCTTTATTTGTTTAAATTCAACGTTTTATGGTTTCAAACTTCATATATCTCTAAAAATGCGTCACTAAAACTTTGGAATACCTGGAGTGTAATAACATTAAAATTTCAGTAATGCGAATAAAATTGATATTGAAAATTTTAGAAAAATGAAATATTTTTCTCCTTTTTATAATAAGATTAACAATGTAAATTTTCTAACTATCAGGTGCTTCAAAAATGGATCATGGATTTGAAAAATTTAAAAAAAGAGCGAAACTTGACAAAAATGAAGGGTGGGGCATAATATTTGTTTCAGCCCATAAAATTTCACATTAAGTTAAACTTTCCGTCAATAGGTGGTGCAAAAGAATAGGAATAACTACAATCGATATAAAAATGGTACAGTCCTAAATTTTTACTTTATTTTTTGATTTATTTTTAAATAATTGTCTTATTATCTCTGTATTGCTTAGATGCGTAATTATCCCTATTTGGCAGCAGCATCTATTGGCGGGATATTTCACTAAATGCGCTGATTAAAAGGATGAAATGCCTAGCTTTTTGAAGTTTTCTGCCACAAACCCTACAATTTTATCACATGCTATGCATTCAGAGTTATGTATTATAATGAAAAATTATTTTAGTAAGTTAGAGCTTCTAAAATATTGTTATAGTATAGTTCTAATATTAATTTAAATTTTTTTTGATTAAACATTTATAAAGTTTTTTCTAATCATAAATTAAAGTTCTTACAATATATTGCAATAAAATTCAAAACAATCTGATTTAAATCAGAAAAGTCCGATTTAAATCAGAAAAGTTCGATTTTTTTTTAATCAAAAAAAAAATAATGAACTTTGATTTTTATTGATTTTAAGGATCCATCACTCATTTTTGGAATATCCGATATTTATGTGACCAAAAAAGCATAAAATGTAAGAGTTTTGCAAAATTAATCGTAAATGTTTATAGAATACTCAGATTTTTCATTTTACAAAAAATGAATACTCTAAGTTCTCAAAATTTTAATTCGTTCCTAACGATATATTCTCTAGGAAATAACTTTTAATATCACTGCTGAACGATACTTAACGATACGGTTTTCCAAGTAAATATTTCAATAAATTTATGAATCTCCACTTGTTTCAGGAAAAGGAATTTCGTCATTAGGTTTGATACTAAGTATTAAATAAAAAATAAAAAAATAAAATTAATAGGGGTTTTGTGCAATTCATACTCAGTTCGCAACGAAGAATTCATGAATCATGAAATCTTGAAATTCATCAATTCTTCAAAGAATTCGCGAATTCGAGAAATCAACTTTCCAAGCGAGCGCACTGACTCCAGTACCATCCTATCTCCCACAGAATAAGAAAACAGCTTTAAAGTCAGCTGAAAAATGCTGGAAAACTCACTGGGAACTTATTTTGGCATAAATTTAAAGAGCTCATACTTCGTCAAACCTGTTGTGTTTTTCTAACAAAATGATTGTCAAAAGCTCAGGAATTGCTTAGTAGTCAAAAATGTCACATTTATATCAAAAAGTACGGGAAAAATACGAAATATTCATAATTTTCTTTTCGCCTGTGAATTAAACTTTCAGTTATTTTGCTAAAACACTTCTATACATTGTTTCCTTTAGAACTTTAAACGGATAATTTTCCTTCAATTTGTAAAATATTGAAACAATTGAAGGAAAATTTGAAGAATTAAGAAGTATTATTATTTATATAGTTATAGCGGATATCATTTATATAGTTATCTACTTACATAAGAGACCTTATAAAAAGGAATTGCTAACACGTAAATAACTGACATAACTTAACAAATAGAGTTTAAAGCAACTGGTATTGCGATATTTAATAATACTTATTCAATTTTTCAAGTAATAATAAGACTCATTCCCGTCATATATTTTTCAAAGTTCTTTCAAATCTTATTATTAATATTTTCGTGGGACCGGGATAGCCTGATAGATAGGGCGTTAGACTCGCGTTCGTGAGAGCGCGATTTCGAATCCAGCCAGCCGGAAATTCTTCGTGTATTAAATGGTGACTGGTGCACGTTAAATCTGACGGGGTCACTAAGTCCTCCATGTTCCCTTAACAAATCAATACCCTAGTAAGTATTGAATTGGAGATTAATCGGTCTCTGTTTCAAGTCAAAATTACGGTCTGTAGATTAATCAATGGAGTATGATTCGGTCCTCCCTGTAAAACGGACTGAGACGCGTGAGTGGTTGAAGTGGTTTTCTTGGCCATAGATGGCTTCACAGAAAGAAACAAGATGCACCCTATGAGTTAAAAAATTTGTTCAATTCAAGCAGACTTGCTGGTATTTGTTAGAGGCATGAGTAACAATAACAACATTTTCTTGGAATTAAATGAATATATTCTCGAACTCTAGTGGCACTTTTGCATTTTGTACAGCAATATATAGCATTGCTCTTACTTTTGTTGCCTCCTGCTCCGCTGCAAAATGCGCATTGCAAAACTGAAAGAAAGAAAATGGCATTATTACACTGTTTCAAGAATTAAACACATATTGCTTATCTTCTAGAAATTAACAAAATACAGTAATTATTATTTGTTAAGATTGTCTTAAAACATTACGAAACAAAAGACCAGAAAGGTAGAAATTAAGATGCTTCATTTATTGAAAACTTTTAATTAATGAAAACTGACCTTCTCACAAAGTGATCATAATTTCTATGATTGATAAATTAAGAAGATTTATGTTACTGCTTTGTATATGAGACAATTTTACTTAAAAAAATACAATTTAAAATCCTCCACTTTCTGGAATCAGACTCTATAGATTTTAAATTTGTGTAAGACATTGGAACAATTTCACAAATTTTTTTTTATATAATTTATTGTTTGTACCATCATTCTAAAAGGTTACAAAAGTAAAAGATTAGGATTATATTAGATATTCTTTATAATCTTTAAGTTTTCATCAACTCACTTTCGGACTTTGTGACAGAAATTTATACCTCATTCTGACTAGCTGGAGCTCTTAAATCTCTACTGGTGTTTTACACCTGAGTAAAATGTAAGTTTTAAGAGTTTCCTAGCAGCTACCGTGTTTGTTATCATGATTGAATGAATGCGTGCCTTCATGATTGTAAGTAATCAAAATATACGATAACAAATAATTACGATTAGCTGTTACAAATTAACAATTATAAACTATATAATGAGCAATAAAAGTATGAATTTAGTACGATACGGCATACAATATATTAAGGTACGTAGTATATACAATGCAAGTAAATGCAATGTTAGTTTGCATACAATATATGTATGTAATTATTTGTAACATTATGTTAATGCAAACACATAGAATTTATGCTTGCATCCTGAATTTGCATGTATTATGCATTCAAAATACAGGTATTTATGTACATATGTGCTTTTGAAATTTTTATGTGTATATAGTTACAATATATGTACGTAATTACAGGCATTTTAATTACACTTTAGGAAAGTAAATGCAATTAATATATACACATTACACATGCACATATGTATATACATTGTACGTTCATAAATACATACATTGTATATATTTACATTATAAAGACACGTATTTTGGCATGTACATAATTGTATGCGCATACGTACAGACATACAATTGTAAATTGTAAGAGCGTACGTACATACACTGTATGTACATACACATATACATACTTGTTTAATATACATACTTGCACATTATATGTACGTATCTAGGTACATTGTATCTACCTGTGTACATAAATGCATTATATGTATTTAGAATACTGGTTAATATAGGTACATAAAATGTACGTACGTACGTTCATCGTACATACACATGTAGGCACATTGTATATTCAACAAATATATGTATGTATGTATCTTTGTAATTGAAATATATGCATGTTTATGCATGATATCAGCGTTCAGAAACAGTTATAACTTGTACTGCCAGTATACATATAACAGCAATTAAATTTTGAGCACACTAGTCATATGTATGACTGTGGAATTGTGCTGTTGGAATTGTGAATGATAATCTATTCCCATTAGCTATAAATTTCTTTTACAACTGTTAGTAAACCATTGAAATGTCTATTGTCTACAGGCATAGAACTCCAGTTAAAAATTTACAATTTTAAATAATCGAAAAAAGATCAAAATTTCTACCAATGTTAATTTCTGTTTGGTGATATAACAATAAATCCTACTTGTTACTGTTCAGAAATAGTTGAAACTTACATTTTTTACAGGCAAAAAGGGGAAGTTATAATTTTAACTCTAATATATAGATATTAATTCTCCCATAAAAAACTTACCTGTACAAGCAAGAACACAAATAACCAACATGACGTAAACTAAGTGAGAAATAATGTTGGACATCTTTTCGATTGATTCTGTTAAGCTGGATTCAACTTAATTTATAGATTGAATCCTAGAGAGCTTTTAATCAAACTTTCAAAAATTCAATTATATATACCAGAGCAAATACACGACGTAGCTCATTTAAAAGTTTGTGTAATTTTAATGATTGTTAGGAAAGATTATTACAAAAGTTTTACCATTGTTTCTCTATAGCTGTGATTTCATCGAAATCATTATCTTAAAAATTTATCTAAGAAATATGTATTAAGCACTTGTAAAATGGTTTTATGATTTCATTTATTACATTTGCATGAGAATATAGCCGTAAAAATATCACGTAGTATCATCTCAAAAATAATAAATTATTACATCATGATTTGTATTCGCTATGATTCATGTCGATATTGTTGTATTGCATCGTATTAATTGACGATACATGTCCACTACAAAATTAAATTGCTTCATTCAAAAATTTTGTTTGTCGAAATTAGATGGAAATATCACGATTTTAAAAATATTTAATGATTTTTATATTTTAATATTTTTAATTTAATACTTTTCAATTTAATATTTTTTAATTTAATACTTTTCAATTTAATATTTTTTAATTTAATATTCTTTTATTTAATATTTTTTATTTAATATTTTTTATTTAATATTTTTATTTCATATTTTTTAATTTAATGTTTTTTAATTTAATATTTTTATTAATTTCAAACTTATTTGCAATGATTTGTAAATCTAATGAGGAAATTTATAATCTTTGTCTTAAATACTTATTAGCAGTGTACATTTAGATAAAGTGAAAATGCTTAGTTAAGAAAAAATTTCTTTCGTTTAGTTGAAAACATCGTTATAAAGAAAAATTCCATTCATGTTGATAATAGTAAGACAATGCAAAGTCTAGAAATAGCGGGAAACTTTCGTTGCAGATTATCATTAAGTTTATTTAAATTTACCGAAAAAAGCAATATTTTAATATTAGGTGTTAGTAAACAAATCTATTAGTTTTAGAAATTTAAATAAAATCTTATATATTAAGATAAGCTAGGCTGGAAGTAAAACAATGTATTTATCTAGATAATAAAATCTACCAAAACAAGATATTTCATTGCTTTTGGGAGGAACAATTATGAATGAAATTAATATAAAAATTATTTTATATAAATAAAATTAAAGGAATTTTAACACAAATATACTTGTTTTAGAATACGTTAAAGAACTGGTCAATTATTTGTTTTAAATAAAGACATTTATTTGCAGTAAACCTATATACATTTGTGAGATAAAGTAAGGTCATCACAGAAAAAGGAAAAGATGAAAAATAATATGATTGATAAAAAATAAATTTAACAACTGGAAAACAATATTTACATTTATATACAGAATATTTTAGAAAGTTACAGTTTAGAAAGTTACAGAAAACAAAGAAAATTAGTATCACAATCTCATCTTCATTTTTAAAATCATCCACATGATTACAGAACTCATTTTTCTAAGCTGTTTTTTTAACCATCCTTCATCTTATATGAGTCTTCAGTTAATCAATTCATTTTTCCATGCATTGTAAAACTTATGGCGTTGTAGAAATAAGTATAACTTGATTGGCTTTAAAACAATTATACAGAAAAACATTATCTAAACTAACAGATTTTAACAGCAAACAACTATTTGTTACGTTCGTTTAGAATACAAATATTAAATTTCTTATATTCATTTTGATATTTATAAAAGCTTTCAATTTCTGTATACTTTCAGAAATATTACATCAACTTTGAATCACAGTATCGAATCCTTATACCATAATACGGCTCAGATTTTCTATAACCTTAATAAGGTGTTAAATTGACTCAGAATAATGTTTATGTTAAACCATAGAACAGTGTAATCAAGTTAGTATGACATGATTTAATTCATCTTAGTTCGATATGAAGGTTGCTTCAAGTTTAAGCCATATTATGGTTTAATCTAATTTCAAATTAAAAGAATCCTGTTAATAAACCACTGATGATGGGTAAATTGCGAGATTCTGATGAAGCTTGATATCCAGGAATCATTGGATACAGCTGCGCTCGCCTTTGCTGTAAATATGCTAATCTTCTTTGGAGATAAACTGATTTTGGATCAAAAGCTTGAGGCTCTGGTAGCTTTGGTTGAAGATTTTGGAAATAAGGTGACTTTGACTTGAGATCTTCAGAATAGGGAGATTTTACTTCTGTAGATGGAATATATGGTGCTTTTTGTGCAAGTTCAGGAAGATAAGGTGTCTTTTGATGAAAAGCTTGAACGTAAGGAGATTTTGGCAAGAGATTTGGAAGATACGGCGATTTCGGCATAAAATTTTGGAGATAAGCTGCTTTCGGCATAAGGTTTTGATGATAAGCTGCGTTTTGAAGAAAATAAGGATACCTTGCATGAAACTGGGAATATCCAGGGTGAAAAATGGCGTTTCGGTGGTATAAAAGGGCGTTACGATGTTGGATAACAGCATTTCTTTGTTGATAAAAATTTAAGTAATTGAATCTACCTTCTTCATGATGATTGCACTTTGGTTCTGAATTGAATAATTTAGCAATGATTCCAGCGGCCAAAAGAGAAGCTAAAGCATCCCCTCCTCCATGTCTTTTGCCACCTCCAAATCTTCCACCTCCTCCCCCTCCGCTAAATAATCCACCTCCACCCCCTCCGCTAAATAATCCACCTCCTCCTCCTCCTAATAAACCACTCATTCCTTGTCCTTCAACCAATAGGAAAGATGACAGAACTACGCAGAGGAAAGCTCCAATTATTAATTTTAGTGAGGCCATAGTCTCTGGAAAAGTAAAACATTCAAAGATTAGTAATAATAGAAAACATTTTATTTTTTCTGACAAGTAAACTTGAGAAATTAAGTTGGTACTTATTACTTTTAAAACAACTTTATGGTATTTTTTGTAAATCTTCTTTGCAATTTCAAACTCAACTTGAAAGTCAAGGACTGTAATCTTTTAAGATTCTTCAGTATAAAGCTAGCCTTTATTTTTTTTTGCACGAAACGGAAAATTTCAAAAGTTTTTAACATCTGACCGATAGCAATAAGACTTAACAGGTACCTACAACCACTACTCAGTACTAAGGAGATTTTATGTCAATATATCGGTCATCATCAGCTGAACAAGAAACAAAATTTCCTCAACCCTATCCGGAAATCGAATCTAACTCATCTAGATCTAATTCATCTAGTTTTATCTCATTCTAAATTGGCTATATCTTTGATATAAACAATTTAGTAACTATATCCATTACCTAAATTGGTTATCTATACGTTATTTTTGGCCTCTATTTTAACGGTTGTGTGCGAATAAATATCTACCAGCCGTGCTGAACTTCTAAAAGGAAAGTTTATAACCAACCGGAATTCCAGTTTATCATACTGCATTATTGCTATTTGCGTTAGCCGAGATCCCTTAATTGTCCACGGAATAAGGAATCGGGATCATCATCAGTACTTAAATTAATAACCAACTTGAAACAATGAATGGAGGCACATCTAGACGGGAATGCCTAGTCTGTACACATTACCATGATGATCACATTTGTATTTAGAGGCATCGATGCAGAACACGCATTCCCGATTAACTTCCGACATCACCTTACTGTTTCCTCCCCAACAGCAATGATATTGGATGCTGTATTATACATGTGTCGAGCATCTCTTGTTTGCAATCCTGGCATTTTGAATGCCAACCAATGCATTTCAGATGTGCTAAGACGCTTATCTCTATCTTATCTGAGAAGCTTTTTAATGCTCTTTTTCAGCATGATAATGCGCTACTGCATATTACTTTTACATACAAAACACATCCGATAGTCTCCGTAGTTAAATTATCATCTCCTGGTGTTTGAACGATTGAAAACGTGTAGTTAATGACTGCCGAGTAACTGATTTGTTCACTCACCAATTATTACTGTCGATTAACTGTTGCATAGTCTAGAAGCTTTATTGACTGAAGTTCCCGAAAAAGTCATAAGTTTTTTGATTGACTCCTTGTATAGGAGAATAAATGCTCTTATTTTTGCCAGAGTTAGGAACTTTTGTTACTGATTCCTTTCTCAGGATTTGTACGCCTTATTTTCCAGCCAATTTAATTAGTTGCTCTTTCCGCTATAATATATGTATCCGATAAAAACAATTTCTATTATTTGCATTCCTTACTGGTAAAATTATTTTAACGGCCATCAGTATATTCTAAAAAAAATACAATTATTTAACTTATATATATAAATTCATTCTAATCTTTAAAGCGTTGCAAATCAATAATGTAGGGAAGAAGGTGGCACCTCTAAACATCCTTAATTTTATCATTAAAATTAATAATATTGTTTGAATGCAGAGGATAGCATGTAATTATTCATCCTAAAGAGCAAATTCTGTAGCCTTAGGTGCAAAACTAATTTCAGATTTACAAATTCCTACACCCGAATCAAGCACCATCAAACATTTGTACAAATGCAAAAACATATTTGATCTTCAGTGCCATTTTAGAAATTTTCAAATCAACTTTTATTAAGACAATAAAGTTAAAATATGTAATTGCTTATGTAATATGTAATACAACTAAGTAATATAATATGTAATATGCTATATGTAATGGCCCAAAATGAATGCAAATGCTACTTTTTGAAATGCTTTACTTATTTCTTAATTTCTTGAAAAAACTAAAGTCTTAGTTTTAAAGCTTTGATATAATAAAAATAAATCAGAAAAATTAACAAAAATTACGTTTTAAGTATACTTTCGAAGCTATTTTCAAAAATATTTTTTTTCCTTATAACAGGCAAAGCAAAGATGCAGTGGTTAAAATTACGTCAAAAGTGAAAAAGACACCCGAAGTTATAAAAAAGATATGAAGAATGCAATATAAAAGCTGTACTAAAGCACAAAATATCACTTAAAACAAGCCGCACTCATATGGAGAAAAATATAAGACAAGCTTATAGACATGTGTGCAAAATATGTTATATAACTCTTCAAAGCTACCCCAAAATGGGACATCTTTGTACCTTTAGAGTTCTTTAAAAGTTTTATGTTTTATGTTTATTCAAAAAACTTTTCGTTAATAAGCTTAATC